TGCCCACGCTGGTCAGAAAGTCCGGACAATGCACAAGTCGTAGATTGCATGAGCTAACAGTGCAGCCCCTCCGCGCGCCGCCTTGTCGTGAGCTGTGATTATAGCTTGTGGTTCAGCCTCCTCTTCGCCAATGCACAGTGTGACAAATGTCGTTTTGGTTCGTACACGGCAGGGAAGGCCTGTGCTCCGACTCTCCAATTCTATTCTTTCTTGCATCCTTGTTGGCGAGTGGCCGCACGCACATCCACACAACATTTTCGAGTCTGTGTGGACTTACTGTTGGAGCGCACGTTTGTCAAGCAGCTATCGAGATTCACAAATGGGCTGGACAGAAGCAAGCGCGTAGGATATCGTCATCGAAAACGGGGTTGTGGATTTCTCGGGAGGAGTCGAGTGGAAACCTCGATCATCATGATATCCTCTGCCGACCCCCGGCCCAACCTGGGCCAAACCAATTCCCAAGTTTGAGGTCCCTGAAGCTGCAGCCAAACCATCCGAGAGCTGTGCTCAGCTTCAGGTTGCTGCGCTTCGCGCAAGAGCTGGACATGGTCGCAGCCTAAGCCATGTTCCAACGCGAGCTCGAAGGAAGGTTTGCGGCGGCCCTGGAGGTCGTAGCAAGCCTGCAGCCTCCGAAAAGGATTGAGGGACAAGATTTGTTGCACCGCTGCTTAAGCAAGGCGTCTACCATGGGCGTGATCTCCCTTGGCCAGGGCCAGGGGCCGAAGGCCTGAAGAGGGTGTTCCCCGTAGCTAGGTGTGCTCCAGCGTCCTTCCCGGGCGTGCGCCGCAATCCCGTGCCCACGAGAATACATGCCTGAGATTTCAACATATTAGCCGTCGGTGTAGCGAAGCTTTTTGGGAGCCGATGGACCTGACATCTTGGTCAAGCTTGTGGTGTTTTCACCCAGCCCCGTTGAGCATGCAGCATCCGATTCTCTGGTTTTTCGTGTCAGGCCATAAAGATGGTCGACGAAGCTTGCAAGAAGGGCACCTGGGTGTTGCTGCAGAATTGCCATCTGTACAAGTCGCTCAGAAGGCATCAAGTGTCGGTGGCACATGATTGTAAATCGATGCGCACAGGGATTAAGTAGGGTGGTGTCCTCCCGCACCGTGTGTGGCGACCTGTTCCCATTAAAGAGTCTGGATGTGCTGGGACCGTTCCGCATGCTTGTCTTTGATATACAATATGCTGCAACATGCCCAAATTGTAAAAAGTTCCAAGCACTGGCTACATCAATTTAGGTGGAGTGTGAGACGTGTGGATGCCGAGGACTTTCATGCCACAGCTGGAGAAGATGTGCGAGACTCTCGAGGAGTCTGCACCTGACTGCTTCAGTGGAGAAGAGTGGAGGGTGTCGTTTCCTGTGTTGCAGATCTTGCATTATTGTGAAGCCCATGCTCAGGTCCAACATGATCCACAAAGACTTCCGCTTGTTCCTGACCAGCATGTCCTGGACTCGGGAGTGCAAATTCTATTCGCTGCTCTGTTTCGGTGATGATGTTTGGTGTCCTAGCTTTTCATTCCAACAGATTCATGGGCAGTTGCGAGTCAGGCCAGCAGCCTATTTCCCGGTACCAGTGCTGCAGAACGGCATCAAGCTTACGACGGAACCACCAAAGGCTTGGTCGAGCCTTCCTTGAACCGACCCGAAGTGCCAGGTCTAGCTCGCAACGTCACTTTTGCCAAGCGGTGCTGCACAATCTGCATTTTTCCAGCTGTCCTTGTCTTCGGATTTATACCAAAAGGTCTTCAGAAGCAAAGCAATGTGCCTGCGACAGACTCGCGAGTGGTCCGCACAAGGAAAACAACAGTCCTCAAACTTTTTTCGTAACAGAAGACTTCTAAACAATTCCTGAATTCCTGTGTGATTTGCTTGCGGGCACTCAGCTGACCTTTCCCTTCCCCGCTCAGACACAGCCTGTGCGATCGGACAGGGTCTCCGCGCCAACGTGATGCGATCCTTCCTTCCGATGACGGAAGACCAGGCGGAAGTTTGGGAGAAAGCGTGAAGGGACTACTGCTCGTCAGTGCTGCCCGTGCTCGCTACCCTTGGCCAGCTCAGCGACTCGTCGAAAGACAAGGAGTGGCGAAAGCTTCAATTCGGCTCGAGACCCAGATCTTCTCAGACATCAGTTCTTGCTTCAGCGGTAAAGATTCTGTAGATCGTGAGAGGAGAAGTTTTGCGAAGCCTTGATGTGCTGAGGCCTGAAGTTCTTCCACGCAACCATTCAGGATCTTCGGCTGTCGCAAAGCCTTTGTTTTGAGAGGGATGGAAGGCAGCTTCAGGACGATCAGAATGGCCATAAACTCTAGAGAGAAGCTCTTGAGTCTTGTCGTAGTGGAAAATCCGCTTGGTGTGATGTGGCTGTTCTCGGCACGACTTTCTGTCATGGATCAGGAGAGGCGCAAATTCGGGCCGCTGGGATGGAACATCCGCTACCTGCCTGAACCCAACAGCAGTGGATTCAGCAACCTCTGCCAATCCGTGATGAGGCTACGAGTTCAACGACTCAGACCTGGAAACTTCCACCACGATCACCCACAACATGCTGGACCCTCGCGAGAGTTCAGCTGCGGCCCACATTCTGTAACTTCCGGCCGGGCTTCCCATTGCGAGTCAAGTCACGCATGTGGGCAGGAGCTGGATGGACCGATCCCGTGGGACACGCTCCTTTTCGTTATCGGGCATATTAACTACGGTGGCCGTGTCACTGACGACAACGACAGGTGCGGGTTGGTTTTCAGCGATAGTCCGTCGAAGACATTGTGTGTCTAAATGAAGCAGTCCTGTTAGGGCCAAGGCCAAGGCCAAGGCTCCGTCCACAAGCCTCTCAGCCTTTCCCACAGGAAGTGCCTGCTCGCCATCCTTGAGAAGTACGTGACTCCAAAGATCCTTGAGCCCGGCTATACCTTCTCCGAGAGTGGAATCTACAGGCCGTGACGGGATCTCAGATCCTCGTAGCAGGAGTAGGAGGGACCGGAAGTACACGTCAGCAGTGTGTGGTTTCGGAGAAGTGGCACCGTGCACCGCAGGTGCCCGGACAATTCGGACACGGCAGACATCGAGTCCTGGCGGAAGTTTGTCCATGCCTCGGAACAATAACATGGACCGAGGTTAATTTGCACCCGTGAACTCAAAAGAATCGCATGCTCTCACACGTATCGCTAGAGTTCCGTACGATGATCTGCGAGAACTCGACACGCGCTTGTTTGATGCAGAGTGGCTTTGAGTCGATTCGGATTGTTCTGTTGCAGCGCTTCTTGCATTGAGGTTGCCAGCTTCCCCCTAGCGGAGCAGCCAGAGGCATCCCAATTGCTACAGTAGAAAGATGCTAGACGCCAAAGACGTTCCCTGCAAGCTGCTTTCCAGTTGCAATAGATGCGACGAGATTCAAGCAGGTAGCTTGACATTCTTACCTTGTGTCGACGCTTCCTTGTTGTTTTGGCGCAGTGCTTGATTTGTTGTGATATTCTAGGATGGAGGCTCCACTCGAAGGGATTGTATCGATTTCGGCGTGAGCTGTTACTCACCGGATTGGCGGATCCTTGGGCATGTGTACCTCCGAATGTCATAAGTGCCACAATGTCAATGTGCTAAATGTCGGTGTAGTTGCCGTGAGATTTTGCGCCAGGTCTTCGGAATGCACGACAATGCAAACATCAGCTTCATGAGCTGGAGCCCTGGTTGGAACCCTGTGCATGTCGTGTCTTCGAGAGCTCTTTCTGAGTTGCGGGGGCTTCTGGGCTTTGAAGCTTTGGGTTTCATGATATCGGGTTTAGGTCTTCTGCGTTACAGGCTCCTCAGATATTCCAAAAACGGATGTGCATGAGATCATGCTTGATCTTCGCTTGAACAGACGCGTTATGGCATGGAATTCTTGTGCTTGGCCATCTTGAACAGAGCAATTGTGCCTAGCTCTTCGATCAACTTCGCCAGTCAAGCGCAGACTAACTGGACTGCGTGGAATGTCCAAACACAGACAGAGACAGCCAGCCAGCCAGGCAGGCAGGCAGGCAGGCAGATAGACAGACACGTGTGATATACAAGCTTGTGCAATGGCCGAGCCATTGAATCCGGTCTCTTGTCCTTCCGGCTTGCGTTTCGTGCATACACTCCATGGACACGTGTGCCATTGCGGCCATTCGGCTGTTGAGGATGAGGGTGAGTCATTATGCGTCAAAGGGCCGTGGCTTGTTGTGTTGCTTAAGAGGCTTTCCCTGGCCATTGTTTTTGCTGCCAAGGCCAGGAGTCCGAGAAAGTCCTCAATACGGTGCTGTCAATCCAGCCCCGAGAGGTCGGGCCTCAGATTGCAAGCATGCGGATCCTCCAACTCCATAGCCTGCGAGAAACTTGCATTGCAACATATTGCAACATATTGCAACATATTCTTGCATTGTGTCATTGTGTCATTGCGGTGGTCCTGCGATTTCGGATTTCCCCCCACTCGGCCCTGGCTCTCGGTTCTTCCTCGGGCTGCGAGTACTGTGAGCGACCCGAGCCCCGATAAAAGTGTACAAACGCCCCGGCCCTAAGCGGGCCTGGAGACTCTGAGACACACAGCGTCGCGCTTCGGATGAGGCCGGTGGTGGCGGAGGCAAGAGCTCCGAAGAGATCGTCGTGGAAATCGCCTCCGAGCAGGAGCTGCAGCCTCAGCGCGCCAGGCAGCTCTTGAGATCGGGAGCTAGAAGCTCTCTTGGTTACGTTCGCTTCGAGGTCGCGACTACCAGAACGTCTGCATACGGAGAACGCGCATCCGGATAGCTTTGCGATGAGCGAGGTCCGGAGTCCCGAGAACTGTGTTGCGGTTTATTTCGGTGCAAGATTGAGTCTGCAGACCCACAATCTAATTGTATGCGGCTGCAGCAGGAGACCGGCTTGATGACATCCCTGGGAACGTGCCTCACACAGGCACAGCTCCTTTCGGTGCTCATGCTTTTGTCGCTTCGGTCAGCCTTGTGAAAGTCGTAAGGAGATGGCCCGATTCAACCGCCTCCTGCAGCAGCTGACAATGACTTTGAAGCAGATCCAGAAGGCCAAGAGATCCAAAAGATGAGAACCAAAAAAGTGAATCTGAGATGTGACGACTCCTTGCAAGGCAGTCAAAGGAATCATTGTCCGATCCTTAGCTTCGGCTCGTGCGAGTTCACGGGGGTTCCGGAAAACCGCACGCAGGTCATGACTGGAGAGTTGGATGACATGTACAACTCCCTTCTCAACAACAGCGTGCCGAACCTTTGGATGAAGGATGGCATCGGCTACCCATGCTTGAAACCTTTAAACTCCTGGTTCGAGGACAGGGTCGCTGTGGCCGTCTTATGTCGCGTGTCTTTGATGAGCGAAGCTTTTCCAGGACATGATCCTCCGCTTTGACTTCTTCCGAGACTGGATCGAAGGTGGTATCCCCGTCGCCTACTGGATCTCGTCTTTCTACTTCCCCCAGGCATCGCTCAAGACCCCCGAAATCGGCACAACACATGCGCCATCATGTGCCCCTTGGTGCAGGGCTTCCTGACCTCCGTCCTCCAGGGCCACTCCCGCAAAGAGCTGATACCAGTGGATCAGCTTTCGTTTGAGTTCGTCATGCAGGACTGGTCAAGGGGCCCAAGGTTTTCGGCACATTAGGACCTTGGGCATTGGTCTTGCAGCTATTCTGTTCTGCAGGACACTGCTGACCCTCAAGAGCTGGAAGGTGCCCCTGCCGAGGGCATCTACATCCATGGCTTGTTCATGGATGCCAGGTTGCACTCACTTCTCGTGAGTCTGTTTTCGAATGCTTGAGCTCTCGGATGCCATGGAACTCACCAAGGATGGCGCAGCCTGGAGCTTTGAAGATATGGTGATCGATGACCAAGAATTTGGCACGATGTTTGTGAAGTCGCCGGTCATCAACTTCATCCCTTGGAAGGACCGCCAGGGCGAATCTCGCGCTGCTCAAGATGTCGTTTCATCGTGGCCCTTCGAGCTTCCATGTTGCTTCGCCGCACCCCTCCCTGAAGGACAAGAAGCCCAACAACGAGAAGTGCTCCAAAGAGTGTACCATGAGAGGACGTGGAGGGAAAGGCCGCACGAATCACTTAGGTACCGCTGCCCCATCTACAAGACCTCGATCCGCGCGGGCACCCTGTCCACCACGGGCCACTCCACGAACTTCGTCTTGGCCATCGAGGCCAGTCACCGCACATGACCGCATATCACCGGACAGCTGGAACGACAGCGCGTTTCAAGCGTCGCTCAGGTGGAGACGCTGAATGACCCAGCCTACTGGACACTGAAGGGTGCAGCTATGCTCACCATGCTCAACGACTAGTGACTAGGCCACACAGGCATACACAGATGTAGACTAAGCGGTCCATCCCATATCCTAGATATCCTAGATATCCTAGCATGTCTAACAGCGTGCTTCGAGGACACCTGCATAATTTAGCAGAGTCCAAGCATGAAGCTTGTGCTTCCAGGCTTCTCACCCTGTGCCAGCAACCGTCTCGGGTGCTAGAGCCTGTAGCGTTGAACAGCTGCTGGCACAGGCATGCATGGAGCAAGCGAAGCTTACTTGCGAGCGTTTGCTACAATGTTCTGCATTCCCACCTTGCAACTGAAACTGGTCTTTAGAGGATCCTTGCGTACGGTTGGTTGCTTGGGCTCGCTGCAGCTTGCTAGTGTATAATGCCTCCACGCAGGTGTGCCGATCGAAATTCCCCTACACCAAAGACCAAAGAACTGCGGAAGGACGCGGTGCACCTGCAGTGACGGTTTCATCCGAGCTTCGGCTGCCCCAGGCTCACGTAGCCGTCAAGCGACCCAAGCGACCTTACGAACTTCAACTCCCCGCCCCCACCCCGCCGACGGCCCTGCAAGCCGAAGCTCGCAGAATGACCTGTGCAACGACGAAGTCTTAAGCCGGGTCGTCATGGACGCGAGGTGCAGTAGCGAGGTGTGACTGCCAGCTTTGCAATGGATTTTCACTTTGGCCTTGATCATGTGGTCCACCTTGCTGCCGTGGAATTCAACGAAGCCCCCCACATTCAAGCGTAGCTTCTCCGCCATCAGGCCCACGCCCCAAGGGCGTCCTTGCTGCCAGGAAGTCCAAGGTCCAAAGCTCAAGCGGCTCAAGCGTTGAGATTCCTGGCAGGGCTCCCAGCCAGGAGTGAGGACACCGTGCCGTCTTTCCACACCAAAAACAAGCGTGCATGCCGTGGGATCCGAGCGCAGAGCTTTCTGAAGAGTCGACACAGACTGGTCGGTGCTGCAGCGGGATGCGTCGCAGCAGGCATCGCTCGTAGAAGTCTTGTGTGTATCTGTTTTTGTTTTTCTGCGAAGAGGGAACGGGCACCGGCGATGGCTTGAGGGTTTGCGATGACAGGCAACCGTATGTGGAAGATGTTGTCGATATATGAGGGGGCTTCTGAGAAAGTTTAGTCAATACAGCTAGTTGACAACCCCGTCAGCTTTGAGTGCCCCAAGCTCTTCGAAAGTAGCAACCTATCACCCTCAGTATCCACTCAGTGTGGAACACCCTCGCTCCCCTCTAGCCAAGCAGAAACCCGTGACTTGCACGCTTCGTGACCCCTTCCGACCACATCGACCAGCTCTTCCCGAAGGGTGGCCTGCACAATGCCCCTGCGTGATGCTGGCTGGTTCTGGGGTCGTGAGTGATTGAATTGCAGGCTGCTTACTATGCTGACTTTGTATAGGAGTGTGTGTCGTAGTGGTCAGCTCTTTGCCTTGGCCCTGAAGTTCAGCTTTGGCTTGTGCCAGGTGCAGGCCTTTTCTACTGTGCTGGCCTGGCTGGGAAGATGAACTGGCTTCTTGCCCAACACTCATCTTGCATATCGAGCACTGGCAGTCGCGGTAAGACCTGCAAACCTGAAGGTGAGGCACGTTCCAGCTGCCAGTCGATGCGTGGTCTTCTTTCCCGGGGACAGGTTGCAAGTAGCCCTCGGACAAGCATCTGAACCTCCTGAACCGTGTCCACAAGGACATCAGCGACTTTGCCAACAAACATGCGCCCTACAGCTACTCCCTGGAGGCAGAGAACGGCAGGATCAAATCCGAGAGAGACAGAATCCGAGCAGTAGTGTGGTCAGCTTGAGTTGCGAGGGCTACTACTTCATCCAGGCCCACGAAAATTTATGGGGGGGTAGGTTGGGGTGCCACGGCATGCCTGTACTACTGCAGGACCTCAGGTACAAGCACGACATATGAAAAGAAAGATAAAGATAATAACGATGAGAAGAACTGCGAAAAAACGAGCCGCACTAATGCAGCAACGGCAAGCAGAGAATGTCAACGATTTGGTATGAAGTTAACAGGAATAACTAGAATCACTCGAAGCACACGATGAAGCAGACAAAGAAGATGAGGGACAATGAGAAGGAACTTACATGCAGAAGTAGGTGTCGCTTATTTTGTCTTCTTCACCCCGATCGGGACTGTCCACATTAGCAACGCTCTGTAACATGGACAATGGATCCACACATTTCACGTTTGTGAAGGGCTCTATGGAAGATGTCTGGTACCCGTCACTGAAGCCCTCTCCGCTACAGGGATCGGAAAGGAAGTCAACCCCGATCGTGGTCTGATTCGTCCCGTCCAATTGCCAAGTTTTCCCGTCTGTCCGGGTTGGGCCGGCTAGACGGGGCAACGTGTGGCCAATAAATCCGCGTCTAGCCAGCAGGTTTTTGTAGTCATAATTATCATAATTGGTTTGGTTCTGACGAAGCAGTGGTTTCCCGGTCCTGGTCGAGGTGCAAAGGCACGCAATGGATGCACGCCAATTCACAAGCTGTGGGGTGTGACCGGTCTGCTTGGAACCCCCTACTGCAGCTATTTGGGGTCTTCGCCTGTTTTACTGTTAAGTAAGTACATTGAGCAAGTACAGGCAGGTTGTGCATTGGGAGAATCAGGATCAATCAGCATCTCACAGGGCATGGTCCGGCATGGCGGGCATGGTGCCACCAGGAGACTTGAGCCCGCGAGTGGGCAGGGCAGCAAAAGCATGCAAACACCAGAATAAGATGGAGACGAAGAGTGACCAGTTGTACTTAATCAATCTGTTGTACTGCGAGCAACTGCATCCGTTTTGAAGGTCAGGCTTCCTGAGCAATTTGCAGTACAAGTGGTTGTGGCTGTGTGGCTTGTGCTTTGATGTGCAGGGTTTGCTGTGGGTGCTCTGCAGCAAATATCCAGAGGAGACGGTCATCTTGGTGTCTCAGCCTGCATTGTGTGATTCTGTCCTCGGAGCTGAACAGCGTTTAAGATGAAGCACTCTTTGTTAAACTCCGAAGTGAGCATCGCTGCAGTCCGTGACAAGGTCAAGCCACGCATGATGCTGGACCACTTCGCGATCTATGCGAATTTCATGATGGCCCCGCAGCCAGTTTTGCTGCAAAAGTGCTGCCGGTTGGCATAGCCACGAAGCTCTCGCAAAGCCCAGGTTGATGGCATGGGAAACCCAAGGCATCTCACCGATCAGAGAACTGAGGCGAGCATGGCGTGAGGAGGCGTAGGACATGCCGCACGACTGTGCCTACCCGTGCAGGCCGACGCCTGTGCACCTGAAGACTACGATCTTCCCGCGTGCGCCCCAGCCCAAAACGACGCCATCGTGCCAAAAAGAAGTTGCGGACGCACAGGCAGCTGGTCATCTTTCTGGGCTGTGGCCCCGCCAGGTTTCAGTTCAAGGAGGTGTGTTGAGCACAGCATTGCCGGGATGTCGCCAGGCTGAAATCATTGGGCAAAGAGCTTGGCGAGGATGCAGATACTGTTTCTTTTCAGGAAATGTCTTTCCGACAAGTGTTTTTCTGCCTACCGGCATTCGCCGGGTGGGAGAGGAAGTACCAGCGCATTTGGTCCTCGTTGGCTTTAGCAAAGGTGCTGCGGTCAGCCCTGCCAGATTTAATTCGAGGGTTTGCTAAGTCCAAAGTGTGTGACCGACCCTCGAAGGTACTCAATGCTCTCATGCGGGATGTGCAGGTGCTACCTCCGGATGATGCAGTGTGTCAAGGAACCTGCATGTTTGCTGCAGTTGAGGATGAGCTCTGGTCGACAGTTCGTACAGCCGCTCGCTTGGGCTACTATCCTTATTTCTCTCAGTGTCAGTGCTCTGCAGGGAAGAGGTGCTTTAAGCATCTTGGATCAGGTGCATCTTGTCGATGCGGGGCTCGCCATCTCGGGGGTTTTCCCGCTACGAGGGGAGGCGGGCGCAATTTGCAGGTCTCGAGTCTGCAAGGCACAGGACGTCCTTCTCCCATGTGTTCCGCGACTTTGTTTTTCGTGTTGCTGTTGCATGTTCGATCACTCGCGCATCGGTGATTCTGCTGGCTAGTTCGGGAGTATAGTCAGCCACCGGGGCACCTTTTGAAGAGTGTGTTTCCGCATCATTCCGCATCTCCTGCCGTCTTGAAGGAACTTCAGAAGGTGAGCAAAGCAGCCCTCACCTCAGAGGCGGTACCATAGCGCTTGCGGCCTGTCTTACCGATGAGCTTCGCACGGCTTGGCTGAGCACACTGCCGCGCGTTGCTGGAATCATACTTGATTTTGAGGCACCTCCTGAATTCGAGATTTGGCTCCACTGCACGCCGCGTCAAATACAGGACCGCATCACAAAATTGGGACGAGGATGACTCGCTGTAGATAGTTGAACTTTAAGTTTCAAGCCCAATGCAGTTCCGCCACCTTGCAAGGACGAATCGCGTCCGTTTGTCGCGCACGAGCACGATGCCTTCGAAGCCAAATGCAAGGCAGTCTCAGAGGGACCTAGCACACTCCCCACATCCTCCAAAGTGACCCGTTTCGACCGGAGTGAATCAGCTTCTATACAACAATCATTGAATCGTTCATACCGGGCAAGGAAGCCCCTAAGTTCAATCATGCTGCTGTTTGTTAATGGCAATTCCAAGTAAGCACCCTCGTAGATTCTTGACTCCTGTCAGAGGCACTTGGCGTTGCCATCCAGAGGAGGCTTGCTGTTTCTTTCTGCTCATTCCCAAGACCTCCACCGGAGAGCATTGTCAACACTGGTCCACACACGCTCCAGATCGGCCTTGGTTCGAAAGGACAGCATTACTTTCGTGAAGCGGACTTAGTTTTGCTCTGACTCGCAGCCATGATCGAGCTGCGTCGTCACATAGGGCCAGGGTTCATACCGTGGGACCCGAGACGCAAGAAGCGAAGACGCGACAACTACAGGGGTCTTTTCGCAGCCATGGCCTTCACTTTCATTCTCAGTCTCACCAACAGCATGTAGAGTGGAAGCATGTAAAGGAATCATGCCACCACCCTCATTGCCTCGCGACAACCAGTTTTGCAGAAAACTTGCGGGGAGCACATTTTCCGTTTTCTGCCGGCGTCGTGTTGCTTTCAAGCTTTGTTCCTCAATCTTCGTAGTCAGTCTCCAGAAAACTCGCAACAAACAGAGGTTCACTCTGCTCCCATCGGGTTGATCCTATGAAGCTCATCCTCGATGACCTCGGGAGCTACGCGGAAGTTCGCTCGTGACTTCAACGAAAGTCTGTTCCCCAAACGGTCATGCAAACAAAGACAGGTCGACCTTTGCAATTTGGTATCCTTTGATTCTCGAAGACAGCAGCTTGTGGTGTTTGCACGAGTTTGGACGAAGAAAGCGTTTTTTTTGGCAAGAGGCATAATCAGCTGAACGAGCCTGGTTCCTGGAGTGATTTTTCTTGTAGGAGGATCGAGTTTGGACGGAGAAATCGTATTCCAGGGCCGAAGAATCATTGTACGTCGCAGTACCAAAAAAGTACAGCCTCGTGGGACAGGGTCGGAGCCAGAGGCTCAGAGAGGGGCAGACATCGCTCCTGCAGGCTCTATGCAGCTGGACTGCCCATTAGCGCGGGCCGAAGCACTTCAGGCAGATGGCTCCTCTGCAGATGGGATCTTTCACTGAGGTCTAGACATGCACTTCGACGCCCTCCGCTGCTTCCTGACAAGCAGCGAAGATCAGGCCGCTGTGCCAACTGCATCGGGCAGAGGCTTTCAACGTGCAGACACGGTTTGCTGTCCATCTTGCATAGATGAGCTTCTGCATGTGCGGGCTTTGTCAACAACGCACTGGGCGCAGGGGTCTTGTCTCTAAAAAGGAGGAGACCCCTTGAATCCTTCCGAAGGACGGAGGTGACCGGCACTGCGGCTTCTTCCAAGCCTGGAGAGCCGTCGCCGAGGCCAGGGCGGATGGGGTCTTGAAAGCCTGACATCAAGAGTACCGTAAGTTCTTTATACCCTGCCTGGGGCTGACTTGACATGTGTCTATACTAAGCAGGTCTGTCTTCCAGGGTATACCGTTCATCTTGCTTGTGTTGCCTGCCTGGTTGTCCAGCAAAATCAGTTGCCGCCCTCGGGATTTATACTAAACATTAAAATGGAACGACAGTCGATGATCCCGTGTTCTCGCGACGGTGTCCTTCGAGTCTCAAACCGGTGGCATCCGCCATGTCGATGGGGAATCACAATCATACCGGCTTGTGGTCATATGGGACAGACGCGCCACGGCTCGTTGACGTGACCGGCCTGCACGGGTGGGAGCAGATCGTTGAAACTGGAAATGCCATTGTCGTCAAGGGCTTCTGGCCGGGAAGACCGAGGTTTTGCTGAGCACGTGTTTCCACGCCTGCAATCACGCCTTAACCCTAAACCCTGAACCAAATTCCACAAGGAACCCCTTGCCTATTTAGGCGTATGGCACCTGGATAAGGGTGTTGGAGTATTCCTAAGATTGTATTCTAGGGTTGGGATCATCCTACGGGGGCTGAGATCTTAAGATAGATGTTATCCTAGGGTGGTGTGGTGAGATCTTAAGATAGATGCTATCATAGGGTGGGGGCTGGGTGGTGCCATACACCTAAATAGGCAAGGTATCATCTAGCTAAGTATCCCATGCTCATGGTCACGAGCCTGGCCATCATGTCAAGGCTTCTGGATTCAATCGTTGTCATGTTAACTGGCTTCACAAATCTCGACGGAAGTTTTGGTTTTCTGGTTTGGACCTAGAAACATTGCGAATTGCAGCCCTCTACTCCACTCGTCGAAGAGATATGACGGTAGGTTTGCAGCGGTTTTAGCATTTCTGCAGACCGAAACATGATGCATATGTGCCACCCGAGCATCAGCACTGAACAGGCAGCGGATGACGAGAGGACATGATGTCAAAGATTCTCAAAAAAGGCACCACCTGCTTGGCAACGCTTGCAGATGGTTGGTCCATCCAAAGCAGCAAGATGCGATGGGCTCTCTCCGCCTCTTTGCCCCTCTACGCCTCTCTCGGTTTGTCTGTCTTTCTGTCCGCATTTCTCGGTACCTTGCTGTATGTCCGTCTATGTCCATCTCACTCCCGCTCGCGCTCACTCTCCCTCTCTCTCTCTCTCTCTTTTTTCTCTCTCTCTCTCTCTGCCTCTCTCTCTCTCTCTTCGTCTCTCCCGCACTTGCACTTTGGCCTTGGTGTTCGCTCTCAGAATCAGGGCAAGACATTGCAGAGTGCTGAGGCTGTCGCATCTGCATGCGCTGGCTCAAGTTGCGGGTGCTTGTCACAATGAAGCAGTTTGACGTGTTCAAGTCTTCCGAGTTGGCAAGAAGTCGTTTTCACAGAATCGGCAATGGTTGCAGAATAATGAGTCGGCATATTGTGTGTTGATGGTGGCAGACATTCCGCCCAACAGAGTCCACAGTTTACGTTACAGGGGTCAACCATAGCTCTAGGTCCATGGTTCTGGTTCAGCCTGCTGGGCCCATTGAAGATGTGGGTTGGAACCTTGTTGGGAGCTAAGAACTGTTTCGTGCAGACTTCGCGCTGATTCTCTGCCATGAGTACTGCCCTGCCATTAGGGCAGAGCCTAGAGGACAGACCTGTAAAGTCCACCTTACAGGGCAGCGTGACAATATACTGGAATGGGCCAAGCATAAGCAAGGCGGCATAAGAAGCCAGGAAGAGAAGCCACTGCTCCCAACGATGCTGAAGTCTTTGGTATTGTCAAGGGTAGCAGGTGCTTCAGTCAAGCACGATTGGTCACGCTAGTGCGAAAAGAGTAGACTTCGAGCGACCAAACACTCCGAGGAAGACGCGAAAGTCACAGGTTTGGCCGTATTTGCTGATCGCCCCAGCCTCACGAGCTCATCCGCCTGTCCCGAGGTGGCGTCACCAAGTGACATGGCCACAGAGGGCCGCAGCCCTGCTTGTGCACAACTTCATTTTACCATGTTGCTGCCGAATCGTTGTGCTTGTTCTTATTTCTTCTACCGCTGAGACAAATGCTAGTGAGTACAAGTGCTACTGAAAGCAGAGCTGCTGATGGCGCTCATAAGGGCCACAAAGCGTTGCTGCTTTTTAGGTGCGAGTACAACTACTGCTATCTTGATAGAGACGGTAGGCTGTCACAGACATGTTGTTGGAACTGCCAAGTTTCTACCTTCGACTTGCCTGGTGCCGGTGAAGAGGCGGGGCCGCTGGACGAGGAGGTGTTGAGGTCCTCAAATTACGCATCGTTCTTGTTCAGGGTGGGTTGACATCTCTGGCGACCGTCGAGGTGGGGCAGTCAAGCCATGAAAACACGTGTCAGTGGTGCACCGGAGAATTCCACAAGCTGATCAGCCACACTCCATGCTGGGCGTGATGATCGGAGCACATCCTGTGGGCGGCACTGGGTCATAACCTTAGTCGTTGTCAATATCCCGAGTGCTCGTCTGTTGACCATTACTTGCGACCTTCCGTGTCCTTGGCCTTCAGCTGTTGATGCGTCTAGGCCGAAGGCCGGATTCCTCTACATCCGCGTGCTTGAGGCTTTGCGCTTCGATTGCAGCGTTCCTCGCAGTCAAACATGTTCTGACTTGATGTGACCGCCGTGGTTTTTGCAAGCCGTGAGGCCACCCTGCAGGCTAATTACAACTAGTTTTTCAATTTATTGGTGCTGTGGGAAACTACATCTGTTCCTGCCACAATGCATCGTTAAACAGACGTGCCTCCATCATCGTCACTGCCATCGCAGACTAAAGACTCGTCATACTTCGGCTTATTATGGTTTATTGTTGCTACTGCTGAATGAACAGATCGGAGCTGTGCCTGATGATAGAGATGCTGACATGGCTGCTGGGATAGGTCATGCTGGCTCTGGGCATGAGGCATGGAGACGAAGATTATGAAGGTATTGCTGATGATGAAGACAGACGATGATGATTCTGGCCACATGTACGACGCCATTGCTGCTGGTGACTGTGGCGTGACTGCTGATGCCGATGGTCTGGATGGTGATAGTGCGAGGCACGGTGCTGGTCTTAATTGTGGTAGTGTTGCTGCTGCAAATGATGCTGCTGCTGATGCTGATGCTGGTAATGCTGCTGATGATCATGATCATGCTGATGCTGATGTTGGTGAAGACGATGCTGACTACGATGGTGATGTCAGAACATTCACGATGTTCGTGATGATGACGAGGATGCTGACGGTGATGTTGATGGTGACTTTGATCTTAGATCGTGACGTTGATGATGTCGACAGCGAAAGTGGTGGTGGTGGTGGTGATGATGATGGCGATGTGAATGTTGGTGATGATGCTGATGGTGGAGCTGGTGACGCTGATGTTGAGAAAGATCGCGCTGATGATGTTGATGATGGTGACGATGATGTGCCAGAGAAGGAGTCGGAACAGCATGAGGACCGTGATGACTAGCAGCGCGGCAACTTACTGGTTCTCCAAGCATTTTTGCCACAGCAATACACATCGCAATCGCAAGCAGCAACCTCCTGCATGTTCATGACGGCTAGCTCTTGTCCTTGGGCTGATCATGGGCTTTCTTCTCGCGAAATCCACATGGCCTTGATTCATTTCATGCTTTTTGCATGTGTGGTTTGGTGAAGGACTCTGTTGCTTGAGTTGTAGAGGCCGGCAACCTCGAGGGCCTCATCAGCCAGAGCCTTCGGAAGAACGCTTCGTTGCTGTCGCCCGAGGGGCTTCCGCCACGGCATGTGCGTGCCCTGGCTCAGGCACGCCCTCATGCTGCAGATCCTCGAGCTCAGGCTCGGGACTCGCCAGAGAGTGGTTCGAAGTCCACCACAGCCAATGCCAGGCTGTTCCTCGAGCTTTTTCTCTTGCTCAGGTTGCACCTGTCCGTGCCTGAGTGAAGGCCAAAGGCCATGGGCTTTGGCCCAGAGTCCAAGTGTCTGCACACGTCTTGGAAGGCAACGAAACCCAGAAGTAGACACACTGCTTCGTTCCGGCACTTCTGCAAGGCACGTCCAGCGCGGCACCGGAAGGACTGCAAGTGGGGCCTGCTTGGCATGCTTCAATGGTGTTAGATAGCACCTCCGGACTCCTTCGGAAAAGCTGTTAAAGCTCCTGCCCATCGGAATGGTTGCTTTAGCGGTGCTTCTGCCAGGTTCTCCTGCATCTGTCTTGAGCGCACGGTCCGTACCAAGGTGGGCACAGGATGCAATGATTCACTGTTGCTTGCCGCAGCAGCAGGAGGGTGGCTAGAGGCATTTTTGCACTCGTGGACGTGTGAAGAGCACGAGGACAGACTGACCCCATTTGTCCAACTTCCAAGACTCGCCAGGTAAAGGCCACTGTGGACGCACTGACGGGCACTGCCACCTTCAGGGAGGAGCAAGCACCTGCTGTGATGACCGCAGCCGACGTTCGTTTGCCACGCGTTGATTGCAAGAAAATGCTCACTGCAACTCGCAGGCCTTTGGCTCAAATTCCAGGGAACAGGCGCAGTCGCCCTGACTGCTTTGAACTGTTGGCTTGCATGGAAGTAGCTGTCCCGATGGAGCTGCACTACAAGCACAGCTTTTTGACCGCTCAAGAGGCCTGAATAGCTCTTGCAGCCTTTGACGAAGTGCTGGGTCCTCCCTCCCTCCGGCACGTCTCTGCTTGGGATGGCCTGGGCACACCTGTACTTGAGCCTCCACAGCCCGAGGCGATCGAGGCCACGGACCGGGAGCGCTCTCAAAGTGAGCCTCCACCGCCCTCGAGGGAGCTGGAGGCGAGTGGCAGGGTACTGGTAGGTACACTCAGAAGCATTTGACAGTGTCGGGATCATCGCAGGATCGCTGTAACCTGCTGCCACTTTTTGTGGCCAATGTCGCAGTAACCTGGTAGCTGGGGCCTGTTCCTTCGTCACGTCTCATCTCGTACGTCCTGGCTCAAGATTTTTGTTATATGTGGCTGACCCTAAGGGTGCGCCACTGCGCCTCATGGATCGCGACTTGGAAGCTGGTCGCCCTGCTCCCGTGCTGACGGACTCTCAGGAGTCTCGTAAGCTGCACGTTCGATGGTATGCTGTTCTGGTGACATTGCTCATGGTTTGCGTGTACCTGCTGCAAGAGCACGTCACCTCCTTCCAATCTGTAAAGCAACTTGGGTACAGTCTCCACCGACCTGCAAGGCCAGGCTCAAGCCTCTTTCGGCCGCCTGCCGCCAGGGTACCGGCCAATGCCAAGAGGCACGACGTGAGCGAGGTGATCAAGTTCCATGGTCAGAGCGTGGCATCTGCGACTTCGAGCTTCGTGATGTTCGATGTCAACAGTGCAATGTTTAGTTGGCTGAAAACCAAAGGCGAACAGTTCGTGCAGGAGATCGGGTCCCGTACTGTTGAAGCCGGCATCATAGACTTGACACGCACAAGACCCAGATCCCAAGCTTCTAAACCCCGACCCCAAGGGCACATAAGGTTCAAGGTGCATTGCAAGGCTAGGCAACAGTACGGCACCACCATCTGCAAACAGACAGCTCCAGGACATCTTCCACCAGACGCTGGACAGCATCTGCCGGGTGGACATGTCGCCAAGTGAGGCTTGGGAGAAGGCCGTAGTTCTGGACATCGGCTCGAACACTGGGTTCTACGGCTTGCTTGCTCTGGCGAAGGGCTGTGCAGTCGTTTTCGTAGAGCCGCAGCCCGAGTGTAACGCGCTGATTTCCTGGTCCATCCGGGAGAGTGGCCTGGACGAGCGAAAGGTTCGGCGCGTGCAACAGCCGGTGGGTCGAGAGGAGGAGTGGGGCAAGTCACTGACAGTGCAGTCTGACAACCATTGCTCGGGGAGGTTTCCTATCGAAAATGCAGAGCGCGGTCACAAAGATGCATATGGCTCCGATGCAGGGTCTGCGGACTCCAAAGCCTCGATGCAAATCCCTTTCCTGCCAGTGTCCAACATGCTGGAGCTCGTGGGCTTGAATGCAAGCAGCAAGATACAGTTGATCAAGATCGATACCGAGGGGAACGAGCTTCAGATATTGGAAGCCATGCTACCACTCTTGCAATCTTGGCAGGTTTCGAACATGGTTGTCGAGGTGACTCCAATGTGGTGGCGCCACACCGGCTACTCCAAAAACGCAGGGGCTGAGATTTTTGAGCAGATTGCTGACCTGGGCTTTCATGGGAGCACGATTCGGGGGCACAAAATTAGGGACGCAGCTGCGATGCACGACTACATTATGCTCGGTCACATCTACCAGGACGACCTGTGGCTGGCACGAAAAAGGTGCATGTTCGTCGGCAACGTTGTTTGAAGTGGAGAGCTTGTTTGGGAGACGGCATTTCTTGTTCAGATGCACCTGACTCAGGTTGCCGAGGATGCGCAGCACGAAGCGCCGGTCTCAATTCGGCTTAAACTTTTTGTGACATGTCTACCGCTTGGACTGGCCCACTGGCCTTGTGTAGCAATGCATACGTAAGACCACGGGTGCAGGTGTCCAAGAAGACGAACTACACAGCGGGCCTACTGCAGAAGGCCGTGTATGTGGGCGTCGAGTCATTAACACAACATGCATCAAATCATGCCAAAGTCATGTGTCCAGTTGCAGGGGTGTGCAAGTCTGACCAGCTGTGCATCCCGTAAGCTTTGATGGGCAGCTGCAGTCCGAAGCTGCCAGGCGCGCGAGTTGCGGGAAGGATTACGCCGCCTCGAAAGTGAGAACTACTGCGCCGGCAGTGTCGGTGGCTCGTGAACGGCCTCTGACACAAAAGTTTTACCGAGCTCCCTGCAGAGATACGCAGACTGCTATTTGTCTCCGCAGAGGTCTTGGTGTAGCGGTGCACAACATGTGGAGTGACATCTTTTGTAATGCAAAATGCCGTTGAATGGTCTTCGACTGGAGTTTCCATGGTGCCTGAAGCCAAGCGAGAACCTGCTTCGCAGCCGAGGGTGCAAGGACCCGTCGAGTCGTGTTTCGTACGTCTTGCCCTGAACATGGCAGGCAGCAATTGCTGCTGCCTCATTTGAGTCGCGTTTCAACTTTCCAAGTACCAGCTATTGCCGGACTGAGGGGAGGGATCGGTGATACTTTAAGAGCGAGACGTGGGGCATCACGGTACTTGGAAGCTAGGGCCGACGTACTGTACTGTACAGCTAGCTGCCAGCAACGTGCAGCACCGTTCCCTTAGTGCTGCACGTGAGCTGCTGAATCCAAGTATAGACACCCCCGTGACAGAGATGCTCACGATATTCTTATGTCACAGATCAGTTTCGGACACAGCATGATGCAATTCGTTTGTGGATCCTGGAGCATCGACCGAAGTGAGAGTTGCACGCCAGTGCATATTTGGGAAGCAGTCGCGAGAAAGGCAGAAGGAAACGGCTTGAACGGGGCACTGCCGAACCGGGCACCCTGAATAGCCCTGTGCTTTGGCCTCTGTAGGAGATGCTTTTGCGAGCCCTGAACTTCTGCAGTGCAGATCAGCTGAAGGCACAAGGGAGGGACTTCAGTGGCAGATGGAGAGCTGGAATGTCGGAACCCACTGGATTCACGCAGTGAGATGCAGCAGAACGATCTGGGTTTGTATGTAAGCCGTCTCCGTGGGCTGCCTGCCAGAGACATGCAAACACCGTGGCCGGTTGGCCTTTCGCGAAGGTGACGCTAGAGAACTCCGGCACCGTCCTGGCAGAGGAACGGTGCACTCAAAGCTTAGCTGAGAAGCTTGCACGGCCTCTACTGCACAATGTCCTGAGTTGTCTGCTGTGCAGGCCGTGCTCCCGATGAGGGCCTCCATCCCCGATGTGTCGAGTGCCTATCAAGGGTCAGAACGCTGCCCTTTTCAGTTTCATGCAGGCCTTCCTTGTATTTTACATGGATGTATTGCACTTTCAGTCTCGCTGTTCCGTCCGCGGCCATCAAACCAAGAGGGACACCTGTGTGAAATTTGCCACGGGCCCCGTGCTCCTGCCCTGAACTGCGTGTTTTGCCATCTTTCTGGGAATGTCTTTGGCGATTTTCGGAGCACTCCGAGGCTCCTGGCTTGTGCCAGCTCCGACTCACAGGTCCGAATCCACAGTCTTGCAGATTTGGCCCGTGCTGGCTGGAGTACAGGGTTCAGATGGCTTTGGAGTGGGTGTGCAGCTCATGCACCACAGGACCATTTTCAGAGTCGTAGACTCGTCGTAGATCTCGAAGCAGTTCCTACTGCCAGGATGTGGAAGAGCCAGCGCTGCTTTCGCCGAACAAGGCAGCAACTCTGTCAACATCCGTCGACTAGTGACTCGTGTGTTCGAGACTCCAATGGCGTTTACCGGTTTGGAGCGGCTCCAAGCAGGCATGGCTGCCACGGCATCGAGCAGTCCTACGGCCAACAGGCACGGCCCCTTGAACTCAGCTCGTCCGTTTCAAGCATGGTTGACTGAGCAGTCTACAGAGAGAACCATCCGGTTTCTGAGGGTCGCAAGACGAGTCTTGCCTTTTGTTGCCTGACTCCGGCCTCAGCCCAGGCCTGCAGGACTTCAGCGCACAAGGCATGCTTGTTCTCACGTCACAGTGATTTCCAATTCGCCAATGACGCCAACATGGCTTGCGGTCTGTTTCTGGTGGGTAGATCGTGCTGACTGCAACAGGAAAGTTAGTCGAGTTCGCAGGATTTCCATGCTATGGTTCGCTACGTTCACAGTGCCCTTGCGATCATTGTAGTTATTTTCACGCGTGTCTTTTGCACTGAGCCCCTTGCTTCACGTTTGCATCAGGTGCTGGCGGCTGGGGCTCCAAGCAGCCATACATCGAACTTGAGTTGCTGCAGGTCCCAATTCATTACTGGCTGGTCTAAGTAGAGGTGCTGCAGCTGAGCACAAAGGGAGGAACAAATCCAGATCCCGCCCTGGAAGTGTGAGGATGTCAACATGTCCCAGGACGATGATCACTGTTCTTCTTCCGAACGCACAAGCACTAGGTTCCAGCTACCATAGGTTACCCCAGAATGCAGGAGCCCAAAGCTCCTCAACAACTCTCGCGTTTTTCGCCCGGGCAGTTGGTGGACGGGTCTTTGCCCGCTGCGCTGGGGAGCAAGCCGCTGATGCTGGCTTTGGAGAACAAGCAGGACTCGGCCTGTCTAGTCTCAAAGACACATTGAGGACAGCCTTGCACAGGTGGTGTCTCCGCCTCGTAAATTTCTATCTTGATGTGTGCTTTTGGCAGTGCGATTTGAGGAGCAGCTCGTGCGCGGGTGTGCCGTCTGCGAGTCGATGGGTATGTCAGTATGTTCATTTTAACTCGGGTACTTCGGCGGGCTGGTGCTTGGAAGAACGAGATAGCTAGTCGAGTAAGTCAAACACCCGCCCTGAGCTTCCCATCGCTGCTGTCGGCAGGTACCTATCCTTCGACTATGTTGAAAGACTGAGCTTGCAGGAGCAGGCCGCGCGACTCTTCGGTGGCGAAGAGCATGTTAGCCACTGTTAGCCGCGATCTGCACCTCAAAATTCACAACATTCAGACTTTGGTGGCAGTTGCATTGAGGGTCAAGGATACAACTTTGCACGGGTGTGGGCCAGATGTGCCAGGCTCTCTGCATCACCGCTGCAATTCAGCAGCGGTCACCATTCATGCTCCTCCAGCTTCTGGATCAGATCCATCCTACGCATGAGGCAGGGGAGGAGATGCAAAAAAGGGGTATCCTAATTGCTAGCAGGGTCGCGCGCCCCCTGACAGCGTACGATTCTCCTGTGACTGGCCAGCACCTGATCATGGCCATCCGGCTTGGGCAAGAGCATCTGCTGGATCCCTTGCTGCACGCCTTGGCCCTGGGAGGGCCCTAAGAGGTGCTCTGTACTTGAAAGGGATGTGTCCTCTGCGAGGTCTCATGCTGAAGGTGTGTGTACTTTCACAAAGGGCTTTTGGAGGGGAGCACCAAAGCTCCGAGGCCGGTGGCCTGGCCCTCGTGCGCTCGTCAGGGACTCGGAGCTTAGCCCAGCTCTTGGCCTCAGCGCCCAGTTGTTTTGTACGCTCCTTTTAGCAGGAAGCGGCTCTTGCGCCGCGCTCAAGGCTCGGAGAGCAACTGCACGTCGAAAGCAGCCAGTGATTCGTGAGTTCCTGCTCTTTTGGCCGTCTTTCCACAGCGGCAGAGGTGAATGGAAGCACACTCGCAGATCTACCAATCTGTCACGGTGCCGGAACATGAATGATCACGAATGTCACCAGAGTTGGTGGCCTTGCCACAAGCTCATGACAAAGGCCTGCACTCTGAGAAAGGAGGCTTAGCGCACATAGAGCGAACAAGTCCGCGGCTTGCAACCTTCCGATGGCCATGCTTCAGCGAGCCCGACCGCAGAGCCTGCGGCTGTGTACACTGCGAGGGAGCCGAAGTGTGCGAACGCCTCCTGGCAAGTTCGGTGACACAGGTTCCAAGTTCCAGTTTGATTTCGCAGATGTCAGTTGATGCCGTTGATTTCGCAGATTCTCAAATCCTATCGGCGGCTGCAACCAGCCAAATGCAACGAGGCATGGTAAACGCTTTTCCCGATCAGGTTCCCCCAGATCAATCCGCGAACCTCGGAGACTTTTAAAGTCTACGAAGAGATGTTTCCTGGCTGCATACCTTAGGACCTGGGGCGTGTTTGCTCGATGTGATCCGTCTTGGAGTCAGGGGCGGCGACGAGGTGCAGAGAATTCTGTCGAGTGCAGCCGCTGCTCAACAGGCCATGAAAGCATATAGCAGGAATCGGAATAGACAAAGTAAAGCGCAATGCTCATGGGACAAGGAAGTTCAGAGACAACTTTCTCTCTTCCGGTGTGTCGTAGCGTGTCGCCAAGAGCAGGGCCGAGGAGCCGCGGCCCAGGAAACGAAGTGACGCCTTCGCCCTGAAGGGGTCGGAACCTCCATAAACCCCATATGAACCCTTATTAACATATCAAATCCTGAGCCTTGAAGGGGTCGCAAAACCATCATGGTATTCTGGACACCTTTTCAGGCGGAAGGAAAAGAGGTGACAAAAAAAGAAGGGGTTGGAAAAAAACTTGAACAGCTCCACCGCACGGAATTGTCTGGAAGGCCTGGCGCCGGCGAAGTGCCTCGGAGCGGGTGGCGGCCTTTGCGCCCTTGGCAGCAGCACTGCGTAGCCGAGCGGAGGAGGCCTTCTTTGGGTGGCTCTCCTGAGATTTCGCCATAAAGCCATAGACAGCCCACATTTCGATGGTTCAGGGCAGCTGGGGTATCTGCAATTCAGGCAACAACCTCGGACAAGCCGTGCAGCTGCCCGTTCCGCCTCACGTATCCTTGCTGCCTGCATTCAGCCCTGTTCACCCAGAGCCATGGCCTGCGCCACACAGTCCAAGAGGCCTTGTCGTGGCAGCGCCTGCATCAGTTCACAAGGACAACGTGATTCGGGACCTCCTTCGGTGAAGGAAGAAAAAGCCCTTCGGTGGCGACTACGGTGCGTTCATGAACGAGGAGCGTGCCGAGTTCCAGAAGGAGCTGCAGCCGGCAGCTCCTTCTCGAACTCGGCACGCTCCTAGAGGGCATCGGAGGTTGCAAAGCTCGGGGGTGAGCGCTGGAAGCAGTTCAGGCAGCCTATCAGCAGAAGTACGAGGCTGCTCGCCAGGAACACGACATGCTAGAAATCCTGCATCGTCCAGCACGACAGATCTTTACCAGGAAATCTTGAAAAACTGGGCTGCCAAATACCTGAGGGCATCGCTGGTAAAAAGGTTCGGACGTTTGCGCTGGAAGTATCTCAGCGAGACTGAAAAGGCGCCTATCAGCAGAAGTACAAGGCTGCGACGGAGAAGTTCGGACCTGGAGGCTTTTGAGGTTGCCATGCAATCGACGGTGTCAGAGCCGCAAGCTTGGGGTCGGTGCCCTTTGAGATCGTGGTTGCACGGCCGGTCTGGTGAAGCTGCCTTCGATTCAGCAGGGAATAAGAACTCCTATCCCTGCAGATGGTAGGACCCCTTGAGTCGGATAGGGCATCCTCTTCCAACTTCCTTTTGGCATTCTGGTGAACATTACACTCAAGCAGCAGCCTGTTCATGCTCAGTAGTGGGGGCCTCATCTGTTCTGTTGCCTGCGAACAACAATTGATGTGGCTGAGACCACACGGTCATACACTGTCCTGAGCAGAATGGCAAAAGATCGCTGCATTCTGCGGTGTGAGCATCAACTTAACTCAGCTCGAAATTCAGTCGGTTTCGCAGGGACGATTTTTGGAACGAAGCTGTGCTGGCACAAGATGGCAGGTCGCGGATCTCGTTTGCCAAGAAATGGGGAAGCCGGTTCAGCAAGGCAAGGCAGAGGTGCTGAAGTGTGCGTACCTAGCGACTTGTCATCAACTTATGGAATGCCCATTCGCAGTCGGAGCAATGCGATTTCTGCAACCCTCTTACATCTCCAGCCATATGCCTTGCAGAGTGCTTCTCAGGTCGACTGGTACGTCGAAAACGGGGCAAAGTTCCTGGCAGACACGGAGTATCCGGCGCTTCCAGGCTTTCAGAAGTCCTTCGTGACCTACCAGCCCCTAGGTTTTTCGACTGCATGTCTTCTCATGGGGTCAAGCGAGTCAAGTATTCTGCAAATGCGTTCCTGGCAGACCTGCTGAGGAACGGTGCTTTCTGTCATGCCGTGGAACTTCCCAATCTGGCAAGTCATCCGCATGGGCATACCTACCCTGATGGCTGGGAATGCTGTTCTGTTGAAACATGCCCCGAATTGCTTCGGCAGTGGGCTAGCGTGTGAGGACATGCTTGCCCAGCTAGACATCCCAGATGGTCTCTTCCGGTCTCTGATCATTGACGTGCCGCAAGTGTCAACTGTTCTGGAGCACCCTTCTGTGCAAGGACAGCTCGTGAAACATGCCGCTGATAATGCCTCGCTAGTCCATTTGATGTCGAGTTTCTCAGGAGTTGCCCTGACTGGCTCGGAGGGTGCGGGCCGCGCAGTCGCCGCCAAAGCAGGGGGATTACTCAAGAAGGCCGTCATAGAACTGGGTGGCAGCGATGCCTATGCGGTCCTGGCAGACGCAGATCTGGACGTAGCTGCAGATGCCGTGGTGAATGCTCGCGTGGCCAACTCAGGGCAGACCCTGGCTCAGCTTGCCTTGTGGTCCGTGGTGGTCTTATGGTTTGTGATGTCTCGAGGCACAACTGATGACTGAGGACATGCATCGCCCCAAAGAGGGCCATTGTGGACAAGCGCATCAAGGCTGCCTTTGAGCAGAAAGTGCTGGAGAAGGTGGCTTTGAAGCGCCTCGCCAACATGTGTGCTGAGGCTTTCTGAACAGCAACTTGCAAAGTGTAAGCTGAGCTGAGGAAGTACGGCGTGGATTTTGGACCCCTGGTGCATCCCAAAGGTCGCGATGACGTGGCAGCACAGGTGGAGAAGAGCCAGGCACAGGGGGCCAGGCACCGACATGTCAGCATGGGTCAGCTCAGAGGTCCAGTCCGGTCAAGGTTCTGGGTAGAAGCAGCTGGACCGTGAACGGGGTCTCGAGTCAAAATTCCAACAACAGGTTGCAGTTCTTGCAAGAGTTGTGTGTCTTGCCGGCAACTTTGAGGTTTCCGGGACATAGGTTTCAATCTTCACCTTCGGCTGTTTGTGAATCTGTTGAGCTCCTTGGCAGACTGGCGTAGGCTGCTGTGCGGTGGGCCGTCGGAGCCTCCGACCGGCGACTGTGGCACGTCATTCTATCCGCCCACCGTGCTCACCGACGTGAAGCCAGGTTGGGCTCGGAAGAGTAGCCGCAGGGCTTAGGGCTTGTCGCGAGAGGCATGACCGCCTTTGAGACTGAGATCTTTGGGCCCGTCATCGCGATCATTGAGGCCAAACGGAAACGTCTCTAAACAGCCACACCAGGCTGCAAAGCCGTTGCGAGTCCTAGCTGCTGCAGTGCACAGCAAGCCACAGAGATTGGAGAAGCTAGCGTTACTGCTGAACTCGGAGTCCAGATCCTGGACACTCTGAAGTTGCAGAGGCCGAAGACGAGGAGGATATCCTGCGGCTCGCGAATCAAACGAGTTATGGCCTTGCGGGAGCTGTGCTCTCTGCCTGCACCCGATGGATGGGGCATGTAGCGGAGAGTAAGCTGCATGCCTCTTCGGAAATGTTAGGCGCAGAAAGAAAGGAGGAGTTCCTCAGGCGACATGAGCCCTTTGCTTTTATGCTCACGCACCCAGGTTCACGAAAGATGTGCAGAAGGTGCAGAGTGCAAGATTTTGGCACCCTGTTTCAGAAACGGTCCAGCAAGAGTTTGACTTGAATCTGGCTCTGACACTTTTGATCCCTCTGATACCTGGCAGGGGGAGCGGCTCGCTGTGAAGGAGATCGAAGCCGGCATGTGCTTTGTGAACGACTTCGTGCGCTCCGACCCCTCCTTGCCATTCGGCGGTGTCAAGAACTCAGGCCTAGGCCGGGAGTGCGCAGCCTTCGGCATGCTGGAGTTTGTGAACGTGAAGACCATCTGCGTCAAGTGACCGCTGACCTCTGGTTCGCCGGACTCGAATGAGCGGCGAAGCGTCCGAGATTTCCTTTACTTCCTCGTGGCCTTGTGAGGCAAAGCTCGGGGCCTTGTACAGATTTTCACGGTCCCGCGGCCCCGCCTCAGCCCGCCTCAGCGTGCAGTCAGAGTTCTTTTGCTGGATGTGGCGAAGCTTGAGTGTCGCCCTTCCACGTGGCATACTTGTCCAGGAGGCCTGCCACTCGTTCGATACGCTTACTAAAGTTGCCGTCCAGTCGCCGCAAGCACCGCAAGCCATGTCAGTCTTTGTGCATTGATTGCCTCTCGGCAGCCTGTCAGGTGGACAAGGGCGAGGTCCATCTGCACGGGTCTCAGTGTTATGCTGGGCTGTGCTCATGCCTTGGTTGTGCAAAGACTTCTGGCATTGACTACCTTCGCACAAACATCCGGTCTCGTAACGTCAGTCAATGGACAGGAATAGACTGGCGGAACAGTGAATGCTCCTGGCAGGCAGACGACCGACCGTGTGGAACCCATGGCAGTAGTGCTTTTGAGCTCGTGGGGGATTTTTTGCTTTCGACAGCACCCAACCGCCCTTTGAGGTCTCCGCGTTCGGGTGCTCCCAGTTCTTCCACAGGCTGGATGCGGTGTGGTCGTCTGCCAGGAAGAAGTCCTGATGCTGTGCGCAGGTGCCGACCCATCCAGGACTTGAACTTGCAGTGTTCGTCTTTACACTCACAGACATTGCATCTGTGTAGTCGATCAAAATGGATGTCCCAACTGTTTGCCGCAGCACTTCATGCATCGCTGGTGCCTGCCCAACTGTGAGGAGCGACGGTGAGGTCACGTTCTGCCGGCATTTTGAAGGAGAGACTGGCAGGTGGTGCGTGTTAGCGGAGCCGAGCCTCCACTATACAGTTTCTCTTCAGACTAACTCTTTTGATCTCTCTCTGCTATGCCAGGCCTCTGGCTTTGGCTTGCTCTCTAGGACACGTGGGCTGTGTGGAGGCTGGCAGCTTGTGGCAGTGGACTCTGTCAGCGCGAGGGTCGTAGAATGAAGAGACGCTGGTGTGTTCTCCGCTGTGCCGAACTTTGCGTTGGGCACTGCCTTTCCCGTTACCAGGCTCTCTGCCTGTGGGGGCGCCGCCAGCTTGGGACTCAGGGCAGCGCCGTTGCTGCTATTGTCAGTAATGTAGCGGAAAACAGAGCTCAACAAAGCCAGGCCACAAGTTGCACAGCTGTAGTTACCGCCGTGCAATACCGCCTCTTGTCGCCGTTATCCATCTGCAAACCACTTGGCGTCGTGAGCTTCGACGAGCGCAAGTGAAAGTGGGGTTGGGCACGAGTAGAGCTCCATCAGGTCTGCAAGTGGGGTGGCATAGCCAGACATGTAGCAACTGCTTCATGCGGGCCCAGGGAATAGGCGAATCGAGGGCGGGTCTTCTTGGAGATTCCCCAGAGTTGGCGCCTCTGGCGGTGGCCTGCAGGCGACTGCAGATCGACCCCACTGCCCCGCAGGTCACGCCTCGTCGCGACCCGAGCTCTGTGGCTTCGAGCAGCGTTGCTTCTGTCTTTACGAATGACGTCATATGTTTGTGTGTGTGTGTGTGCGTGCGTGTGTGTGCTCCCTTCATCGGTCTGTGATATGCTATCCCCCTCTGTATCTGCCTGAGTTTCCTGTCAACAGCACCTCATAAACGGATAGTTGCATGAGCGGCGACTCTGCTTGTCTTTGTCGCAGTTAACCTGGCTCGCCGCGAGTTACTGGGAGTCATTGGGCCCTGGCCTCAGTCTCTTCTCGGGTTCATCACCCCAATGTAGTCTGACAGCGCATTGCTTTTCACACTGCCGTTGGCTGAGGTGGGAAGATATTGACACTTCCACTTTAGGCGATCCACCAATGGCTGCACTCTCAGATGTAACTCGTGGCAGCAGAGGGTGTACGACTCTCTTGATCTTGGGTGTCTGAGATCATGGTGGTGAGAGGGCAAGGCAGCCTCGAACAGCGATCCTGGCATGATTCCAAAAGGTTCCGGGTGGCCCAATCCAAGAAACTTTCGATGTTGTCTGCGGCAGGGGTCGGCAACACCCCAAGCCTCACGACCAGCATCTTAGAGCGAGATTCCGGGGTGGGCCTGTCCGTGCTTCCTGCTTCCGGAAAACTCGAAGTCCACGTCATTGGGCTGGGAGCGTTGCTGACACTGTAAAATGCGGTCAACCCAGCGAATGCATGCAAACTCATGGCCTTCCGTTTTGATGGCTTCTTCTACTGTGTAGCAGCCGTCAAAACAGCAGGACGCGATAACTCAGTTTCTGCTGTTCTGACATGTTTTAAGCGCTGTGTTTCGCAATCAATTGAGCTGGAGATTCGGTTCGATTTTGCCTGCGTGGCTGTGACTCTTCGCTTTCACCGTTGACCTCCCGTTGGGTTCGACGGTGTTCGGATTGAAGTGCGCATGCCTCGCGTGCTTCGGATGACAGGAAGCTTCAGCTCATCTCGGTTCTGTGCAGCTATAACTTCTCGGCTCGGACCTGAGGCTTTGCTTGTTGGCTCTTGTTGGCCCAGCTTGGGCAGCTCGTGGTGGATGGGATGCACTTCGGGTAGGGTACCTCGCGCCTTGTCACTTTTTGAGCTCCTCTGGACGATTTGGTGCTCGAGGTGGATGTCCGCAGCCCCAGGGACAGCTGGACTCCTCTCCTAGCAGTGCCTCGCACAGTCGTAAGCTGTGCTTTATCTTCGGATGCCTTCTCCTGACCTGAGCTTTAGAGACTTCAGAGGCAGTGGAGCGTGGTTCAATTGAGCTGGTTCAAGCTCTGGTGGCTCAGGCTCGGCTACCCTCTTGTGCTTCGCTTGCTTTGCTCCGGATGCTTTTCCTTGTTCTTTGCTCAGGGCGCCCGCAGCTCGCCGGATAGTGTCCTCGGAGTCTTGGCAGAGTGCACTTTTTGACTATCTCGCAGGGTGTTTCGACTGCGAGGTGCAAGGTCTGTAAACGTCAGCCGAGGCTTCACTCCACTACATCTGGCCTGCCAAATGGGCCACTGGCACCTCATCTCCTGCCTGGCCCGGGACCCTGCGCTCCCGACGCGGCAGTGCCTCTGTTTGCCTGTCTGCCTCAGGTCGAGGCCATGAACAAGCAGCCGCTCATCCAAGACATGCCGTATATAAGCTGTAAGGCTGTCTTCAAGTTTTACTTGACGATGAGGTATCGCAGCATGTCAGCCTGGGGGCCATCACCGCAGCCGGCCACCCAGATCCACCACGGTCTCTGACGCGAGCAACTTCGGGTAGGGCCGGGGAGCCTTTCACAGAAGTGCTGTCAACGACGCACTGGTAGAGCTACAACTACATCGATCGAGTCCCGACCGACTCCGGCCCGGCAGATCTGTCCGTTCTCAGTATTGCTCCATCGCCGTGGGCAAGCAAAAAACAGAAACATGGGGATGGCTGTGTGAGAGCCCCAGAGGATGACGAAAAGCGAGCGAAGCCGCCAGCTTTGTGAAATAATGATGAAGCAGCTGCCAGATTGGCACCGATGCAAGCATCAAGAGCATCGTCTCTCCTGCAACGGCTCGGCAGGTGTCCGTGAGCCGAGTGTGCCAAGACGGTGGGAGGGAACTGGAGGATGGGGTAGGGAGGCAGGCTACAACGCTCGGGAGGCACAAGGCGTGTTCGACGGCTGGGTGGTGGCAAGGAGAAGGGAGGTGCGGATTGAACAGATAAGCGTGAGCACAGTGGAGTCTGGCACGGAAGTCTCACAACCAGAACAGGGCGGCACGGAAGGAGCCTCCACCTAGTTCTAAGAGTGCGCATACTTTGCAGGTACGTTTCGCTGAACGTGGCAGACGTGTACGGAAGGACTGCTGGGAGAGCTCTGCTAGTCAGGTGGCACGACACGTCACGACACCATTAGCAGCAATTGTGCAAGTTATTGCTCTTTGTAGATTGCTGCAACTGCCGCAGTCACTCTCGGGTAGGACAGCTTTGGATATTGCCCTGCTGCGATACTTCAACGACGAGTCGGAGAGGCACTGGTGCTTGCTCTGAGAATGTGGGATCATCTTGCAGTGTTTGACGACTCTGGTGGTGTTGCTTCGGGGAGAGCGGAAAGGGTTTCTGTAATTGCAAAGAAGAGCAAGACGAAAGGGCTCCAGAGCCCGAAGCAGGCTAAGCATTCGCTTGTAACTGCTTGGGGCAGACTGGTCGACTGTCACTTCCGTGTGGGCCTGATCACGGACTGTCCATGTCGCCCTGCAGTTATGGCGCGGCAGCCGCTGCTGAGGGCAACGGCCAAAAGGCACAACAACTGTCAGTGAAGAGACAACAGGAATCCGGACATGTTCATGTTGCACTTGGTCACGTAGGCTCCATCTGCTCGGAATAAGCTTTTGTCAGTGCTCAGCGATGCTCTGTGCTTCGGTCAGGCTGTAAATGTGCTCCGCGAGTTCATCCATCGTAGGCAGGTTTCTCAGAGGTATTGCTATTTTTGGGATTTTCAGGGCTATTGTGCACATATCGATGGGACGCTGCCAGCCTGATGCCCTCCAACAAGGCCAGCCGACGACGCTGGAGTGGTTTGTGGTTGGGAGCTGCCGGCTTGACCTGTTTGTTGAGGGCAAGATGTGCGCATCGAGGGCTTCTGTATTGACGGACTTGTTACGTTAATGCATCTGTGCGAAGTTCCGGGAGCTTGATAATGAAGAGCACGGAGTTCTTTGTGTTTCTGTGTGCGTCTGTGCAGCGGCCAATCTCCAAAAGGCGCTGACCCATCCCTAGCTTCGACCAACTGGCAAGGCTTCAGGTGATGAACCTGATCGCCATTCCGTCGAAGAAGGTGCCGTGAAGCGTCTGCCGACGGAGTAGGTGACAGCCAGTGAACAGGACGATGTCATCTCACGGCTGCATCATACGAGACATGAGCGGAACTGCTACGTGGAGTTTTCGAGGGTGCGGACGAAAGTGAGAGCAGGGGGCGGGGTGCAGAGGCGATGAATGCCCAGCTTGCAGACTGCAACCGGATGGTGGAAGGCTGGTTTCTTGAAGATCTCTCGTGTATCAGCTGCCCTGTTTGTACTGGGATATGGTTTCTGTGGGACAGCCAGATTGACGACTCACTCTTTCAATACAGCTCGACTCAGGCCCGCAGTGCCTTAATACTCTGGCTAAATGCCTGGGTGCCTGCAGTGTCACGTATGACTATGTATGACTTACTGTCCCGCATGCCGGCTGTCGGAGTGAATTCATATCAGGTTACGAGGGTGTTGTGTTGAGGTTTGAGTTGTTACCGCACCGACGCGACTCTAAACATGGGTCGGAATCGACAAGCTGCGGGCCAAGAAACCACCCCACGATACTCAGAGATGGGCTGAAGCAGGGCTGTCAGCTAAGAGTGCAAGAGCAAGCACGTTGCTTCGACAGGTTCACCGAACTCGGCAAATGCTGATTCTGGAGAAGCCGACAAGGCATGGTAACCGTGAGGTTTTGCCGAGGATCAAGGCAAAAAGGGCACTCCGTTCCTCTCGAGGAAACTGCTGAAGGCTTCAAGGACGTTAACGACGTGAGGGAGGTCTTGGAGGTCCCAGTCCCAGCCGTCCAAGCAGGAATGCAGAGCTTGACAGAATCGAACGTGCCATGCTCTTGCCACGCTACTTGTACCGTGTGTCAGTGGAGGAGCGCCTACCGCCCAAACAGGACCTGTAGGTTTATGCCATTTTGCACCAGGCTGTCCGAATGCTCGTCAAGGCTGCGCAGAAAGCCTAGGGTCGTTTGTTCCGCATTCCTGTGCCGCTGTGATTCTCTGCGAGAGTTCAGAGAGGCTGGTGCCCAGACGCGCTTTCTGCTGGAAGACCTCCTGGAGCCTGCTACGAACCCTCCAGTCGCCAGGCCAGTGCGACGCCTTGCAAGATCAGCGAGTCAGAGCATGCTGCGTGATCTCTTGCAGTCCCATCTTCAAGTCGGCCGCACAGCCAGCAAGGCCCTACCGGCATCCATTCTCCTTTGAGCTTGAAATGCCGAGCAAGTTGCCTGAAAGGACCTCGCCGAAATACAGTCTACAGGAGGGTGAGGTTGGTGAGATGGAAGACAGCGTAGATGACGAAAGCTTTACAAGCTGAGCCAAAGAATGGAGCTCAGCTGCCACCTCGGGTCAACGAGCTTCGGCTTCTGCGGGCTTATAGCGGTTACCACGGCTGAGGAAGTTACGAATTCCATCCGGCCTTCCCAGCCTCATGACAGCCAGACAGCCTTCCAGATGAGTTGCCCGGCGATGGCCCTGCACAGAATTCGCGATCGTGTGACTGCTGGCGGCGCACTGTGAGAGTCCCAACTCGAATCTTCGACGTGCTCGCTTTGTTTAATCTTAGTGGGCAAGTTGTGCAAACGCAGTGGTAGAGAGTGTTCACTGACCGTTTTGACTAAGGAGGATTTTAGGCTGAAGCGTGTGAGACAGACACGGTCTTCCTCAGCGTGGTGCCTGCCAGCAGATCCAGATCGTCTCACCGGAATCCAACACTTCTCCGACGATTTATCTTGGCCAAGGCCTCGACATTTCCGTGGACCTTTGAATCCTTGAAGGACTCAGCCGATGATGTCTGCCGGGCATCCGTGACCCTAGTCTGGGCGAACTGCCTGGGGAGACATCTGCTATCATCTACACTCCGCAGACCTGCGACCTCCCCTTCAGAGACGACTCCCCAGTGTCGGTTTGTCGAGAAAACCTTCGTTGCGTTTGACAAAGAAGGTCGGTGGCTGGTCGAAGGTATATTCACTTCAAGACTTAGCAGAATGAGCGCACGACTGGCAACCAGCCAAGTAGGATGGTAAATGATGGAACCATCATCCAGATGGAACTCAAAAACTGGATGCTCTTCTTTCAGAAGGTTGAAGGGGCATTCAACGTTACGTTCCAGCTCTGCTCTGAGCTTTAGGGACAGGCAACGCCTTCAGCGTGAAGAGGGCACATGCCTCAACCTTCTGATCGACCCTGCAAAATAGAGAGTACCCCAGGCCAGTGTGACTCTGAGTACAGCAGGTATCCCAAGAACTTCTCTTCAAGCCCAGAAAAGCTCCTCCCTCCTGTGATTCGTCACAGCACGTAGCCGACCGAAAAGCCTTGCAGGAAACGCACAGTCTTGCTTGACAAGAGTTGTGTTGATGAGACCTCAAGCTGCATCCGGCAAATTGCGGCAAAGCATATAAAAGTTTTGAGTAGGAGCATCGGAGACTCGTGCGAAAGCAAACAACCTCGTGTTTCGATACTGCGAAAGAAAGGTCCATTCACACAACGCCACATGGTTCCGAAAGAACATAGCAGTTTTTGAACTCAACGTGCTACACTAGCTCTACAATCGCCACGCGCGCAAACCTTTCAGAATTAGCAACAACAGTATGGCTTTATACATTTTCCCACTCAAGCCCTGCCTTACATCTTGCAGCGCTTGGGCTCCCGCATTCTGAGCGTGTATGTGTACAGAGAAAGCCCTGTTTAGTCATGGGAAGCGGATGTTCCAAATCCCCCGTGCACTCCATGCCGGACGCTGAGCATCGACAAGTGTCGCAAGAGGAAGGTCGCGGCGATAAAGGCGACAGCTGTTTGCGTGCTGCGGCCGCGACAAGCTCACTGCCGAACAGCCCAGAAGACGCCCATCTTGCAGCTCCATCACTTGGACCGCTGGTAACAGCACTGGTTGCACAGAAATTGGACCATATTCTACGGGAAGAGCTTCCTCTCTGGGATGCCAACTGCAGTGCCTTCGGGAGGCTGCAGACGCAAGAGGAGACCGACCAGGATGCATCTGTGCACAAGAAAGCCACGATTCACAGGCAGTTCCTAGCTCGCTTAGACAATTATTTCCAGGACATAAGCATTCAAACACACATTGAGACAGCGGACATTGCACGGCTCTTGCACGATGAGGCTGCTCGGAGTGATGATGCGAAGCTAGTTGTTGAAAGGCTGCTCAAGTACACAGACTATCATGCTTTCGCAGAGCTTATGCACCGACACTACTGGGTCACCGTCAAGGAGGTGCGCCTTTTTTGGGACATCGAAAATGTCGGCTGGGACGAGATGCAACAGAACGGCAGGGAAGTTGTCAAAGCTCTCCGTGATTTTTTGGATGCCAGGAACATCGGTGGTTTTGCAGCGCAGATGTGGGCAGTCGCTCCAACTTGGCGGTTCGCGGACAGTCCGCGCGTAGTTGACGATTTGGAAGACTCTGCTATACGAGCGGTGAACTGCAAATCCAAGCCCGAAGCCGCGGATCACGTGATTAAGGGTGAGATTGAAAAGGCTGCCTTGCTGTATGGGAAGTACGAAATTCCTGCTCATACCGTAGTGTTTGTCCTGATTACATCGGACCAAGACTTCACCGATGTCCTGCAGCGTCTCCAACATGCTGGGTATAAGACAGTGTTGATACACAATGCCAAGCAGGGCAGCAGGCACGTTGACATGATGTCGCTGTATGCAAGCCATGCTTTTAGTTGGAAAGAGGTCTTGCCCCACAGCTTTGCGAACCCACGCAAAGCTGAGAAAAGCGACTGGCAGAGACTCATTGACTGGGGCAGGGGCAGGGTGCATCCGCCGGTTTGGGTGAGTGGGAGCGAGGACGCAAGCGCGCATCTCTGGCGAATAAGCCTCCAGTTTGGCCGAGGCCGCATTCCCAACGAGATTTCTCTCTCTGAAGGAGAGACGAAAAATGGGGCTGCCAAGGCCGCCCTGGAATCTTTACACCGGCTCCTCGGGGAGCACTTCGAGGTGACCAGCCTCGAGCAGCGGGCTCTGCACACCCTGATGTCCCAAGCTCAAGCACAGGTGTGATGGCCGAGGGCCGAGCATTAGTTAGGTGGAGTACCGAGGAGTACCGAAGGGAGTACACGTGAAACGTGCGCTGTCGCAAGTTTTATGGTTTAGCATGCTTGGTGCTGGGCCACCCCTGAGGATCGCAAGCTGCATTCTAGGTGCTTAGCATCCGTTAATTGTTTGGTTGTGTTGCATGCTCTTCTTGGGGGAGTCGGCCCATTACAGGGCTCAGAGCCTAGCCAGCGTGAGCGGCGAAAGTCGCATTGACACTAGCGGCACTGTTTTCTGGATGCTACAGCTCCAATCCGTCCGCAGTGCTGCAGAAATGGGACCGATCGTTCCTGCACTGGAGTGCAGTGAGTGCATGTCAGCAACCGATGCTAGTGGCGAGATGTGATCATCCGATCCCGTCCCACCTGCTCGAGTTGCAATGGACCAAGCAGTGCCTTCAAAACCCATGAACTCCTTTGTAGCACAAACTAGTGACATGACGCATACACAGATACACAAGGCCATGCCGTCATTATCCAGCCACCAGCAGCGTGACGAGCAGCGAACTTGCAACAATGCAAGCGAATGGCTCTGAGGAGCCAGTGTGTCTCAAGGCAGGGTGGGATTCCTTCTATTGGACTGTTGCAAGATGCTTGCTGGAGGATTATCGGAAGCAGGTGGTTCTTGTGTGTCCGGCAGGGACAGAGGTCCTGTCGATGATTCTGCATACACGGGTTTGTCGAGCCGCCCGTTCCTTCAGTCACAACCCGGCAGCCTGGAGATGGGCTTTGTCAGCGAGAGCTGCTTGTCTGCAGGTGCCGGTGACGATCCTGACCGGCTTTCTAGGTGCAGGGAAGACGGTCGCAACCTTAGGTCTGCTTCGCCGGATAAGTGGCGGCAGCCCTGCCGCTTTCCGAGCGAGGCCCGGCTGAATGCAAGCCTGCGAGAGGGTCGCAGCCGTGCTTGGCGCTTAGAGCGAAGCTGAAAGACGGCAAGGGATCATTTGTTGGTATCCACGCGGCACACAAGATCGCCGTCATCGAGAATGAGATCGGGTCGCTGGGTGTGGATGGGGCGCTGGTGGCCAATGCTCATGCCGAGGCGCAGCGCTGACTGGGTAGCTTTTCAACCTTGTTTCGTTTTGGCCGCCCGGAGGCCGATGGTGTGATTGAGCTGGCAAACGGTGTGCCTCCGAGACGCCTTAGGTCTCGAACTTTTTGCCCGGAGTTGTTGGAGAGAGCGCGAACTTTCCGAAGCATCTCGAAAGCAAGCCTCAGCTCAAGAGTCAAGCGCCGTGTTTCCCAGCGACTGGAGGCTGCCTGTGCTGCTCCGCGGAGGTGGACCTCATCGCTGCTTTAGAGGCGCCCGGAAGGCGCTGGCGGCTCCAAGCACGAGAGAACATGACACATTCACATGAGAGGCACTGATCCACCGGCATCGAAACCAAGCCGTGGACCGGATTCTCATCGAGACCACCGGCCTGGCCGATGTCGGGCCCGTCTGGGCCTCGACGTGCCCTTTCTTTGCAAAGCCACCAGTGGAGCATGGAGGTGATTTCGCTCTTGGAGGATGCCAAAGATCCACTGGCCGAGGAGTCCTTCTTGGATAAGTCAAGCGATGACAACGTTGCCATGATCTTGAGCGAAGGACCTCTACTTGGATGGAGTTGTGACGGTGGCTGGGATCCCGGAGTGCAGAAGCTGCTTGAGCAAACTGCGTCGGTGTCATGGAGCCACCCAATTCAGCTGAGCTAGACAGCTAGACGCTGCGTAGCCGTGCACCTCCGGGAGCATATGTCGCCGCTGGGTGTGGAACGCCTTAGGTGGATATCAACACCTTGCACAAGTGGGCTCCCAGGGGCGGTCCAGGCCCCGCCCACTTCAACACCGTCGAAGATTGCCTGTAACTGAGACAGGGAGACATGAACAAAGCGCCGACGACATTCCTTTCCCTTCATGGTCAGGCGCCAAAGTACTGAAAGTGGCACGACGCCCACAACCACCCTTCCCGGTCGTGTCAGTCCGTGCTGAGGTCTAGCGGGTTCGGCTACAGCTCTGGTATTCCGCAGGCGACCTTTGCATATTTTCGGCCGATGCACCGCCCACTTCATTCTTCTTTCGCCAAGGTGATGATGGTACTTTGAGGGGGGTCGCAGAATCCGACAGACAGCGCCCCAACTGCAGGTGCTAAGTCTCGGGAAAGCCGCGGTGCTGAAGACTTTTTGGCGCCAGGCCACAGCCACAGATCGGGCAAACCGGGCTCTTGGCGGTTTGAGTTTGGACGCCATGCCGAGTGCCGTAAGAACTCTTCGCACACATACGGTGTTTTCTGACTGGGGAAGTGCCCAGATTTGTGGCATGGTGAGTGGTGCTTTGGCGCTGTCCTGGCGTGTCCATTAAAAAATATCTGGTGGCAGGACCATTCCATTGCCAGAGCCGCTTCACTGTCAAATCGTATGGTTGCAGGTTGCCTTCGCCGACCAGATCATCCTCAGCAAGGTAAATCTCTTATCTTCAGGGTTATTGTGGTATTCTGTACTGTCGGCTGAATTCTATTTCAACTACAATATCGTTTCTCCTGCTCCAACCCTGGCAGTGCGATCTGGCGAGCGCAGCGGTGGAGGAAGTTGCTCGCTTGCTGGAGAACGTGAATCCACTCGCCGAGGCTTCCTGCGATAAAGTCGGGGTGTGGAGGGCTTGAAGCTGAGATCAGGTGCTTCGACCTTCGGATTCATCGCTCCAACCGCTTCCCCCGACGGGTCCTGAGCTTCCAGCTCAAAGTCGCTTCCGCTTTTCACAGCGCTACTGGGCTGGGCAGCTGCTGCATGCTCAACGCAGGCTGCGCCGTCGACCGGCAGTAGGCCGGGCCTGGGCAGAGCTATTTCGGCCAGCTGAAGTCGCCTCTTTGAGGTCGACGCCCATCGCCAGCTCCGGCTGCTTTCTGCGGCGCAACGGTGCCAAAGCTTCGGACAGCCAGGGCCTCAGGGTCTCAGGGCCTTTGAACCTCTCACATTTCTTCTTCATGCAGCACCTTTTGCTGCTCGCAAACAAAAAGGCATACAGCATACATGTCGCAAGAAGCAGCGCGCTCCCAGGGACATGCGTCAAAGAGTCAGGCGAATCCAGTCATCGGCCGAGTTTACATGAATTCAGCCTCCTGAAGCTTCTTCCCGAAATGGGCGATGCAACAGACTGGTCGGCGGTTCTGGACGCACTTCTGAAGGAAGTTTGCGAAGACGAAGCTTGCAAAAAACTGCTGGACGATTTGCTTGGCTACGCCGTCTATGCGGTCACGAAGCACGAGGCAGACATCAAGGACACACTCAAGAACCGGATAAAGGCAGGACTGCAAATTCCTTCTGGCTGACCTGGGCGCTCAACTCACACAAGCCCTGCGGCACCCTGGAGGTCAGGCGTTGGCCCGTCGATGCTTCCGGAACACTCGAAGTCGATGTAATTTGGCCAGGACCGACGCTCCCTGACTCCGAAAATTAAACTCAGAACAGAAGCTTCTTCGCTTCCTCGTCCCTGAGGCGCGGGCTACAACTCGGTCGCCTGCGGCGGGAGCTTTGCCGTCCTGTCGCTCATAGAGCCACTTGGTCTTCCATTCAATGCTGGCGGTGGTAGCAGCAGTGGTGCTAGGCTGCTAGTGGTAGTGGTGCCGTCGTCGTCGAAGTGGTGGTGGTGCTTGGGTTCTGGGAGCTACAGCCCTTGTGCCAGGGCTTGGGGCCTCCTCCGCGTGCGGGACATTGTGGGCGCCAGCGGGGGCGCGGCGAGCGCCATCCTGGCGTTAGCGGACCCGGAAAGGAGCAGCAGGACAGGAGCATTTGTTCACGGGCGTCTCTAAGTACCGGCTAGGGATGAAGAGAAAATCCAGGACTCTGCTGACCTACTACATGGTCTATGCCAAATGGACAGAGCAGACACCACGCGCATCCTTGCGCCAGCTTTGGCGAACTACACCCCTCTGGGCACAAATCTACCGCGACCTGGGTTGTCTCAGCGCGTTTCTGTGCACATTCATCCTATCAGGTCGCATTCCATCCGCTTAGAAACCCAAGACGGTTAACAGTAGCACTTGTTTCTTTTGTCAGATTGTAAATCGTGAGAAGTGTCAACTTTGGTGTCGCGCCCTTCCCCAGTTCGCTTTGCTTGCGCTGCTTGATTCGTTTCATAACAAGTGAGCCTTCCGCTCAGGAAAGGTAATCCAAGACGATGCAGCTTTCGAGCGAGTGCGGCAGCGGGGATATGTAGCAGTCGCTGCCGGACGGACCGTGTTCCAGTGGCAGAATTGGATTCTGCACCACTTTGCCAACCGAGAGCAGTGTGTGCAGGCCTATGAGGCCAGTGGAGAGGCACTGGAGCTAGGAAGCACGGGGCCAAGTGGCAAAAAACCGAAGACTACTAGGCTCTCTTCAACTTGCGCAGCCCTGACAGGCTTCTCTTTCCGGAGCCTTTGTCGGACGGGAAATCGATGGGCTCAAGCGGCTTGGGCGCTGTTGTGATGGAGGTGGCAGGGAGCATGATTCAGACTTTATGTATTTTCTGGTCTGAAATGCCGATGTGTTTTGCAACAACCGTCCAGTCAAGGTGGAGTGCTTCCGTTTCCAGGCCGTGAGAAGAAGGTGGCAATGTACCATCACACGTTTTATGGGTCTGCTACAGCGTGCACCATGGAAACGATAGAGAAGCTTTTCCAGAAAGGTGTTGATGACACCATTACCATGCTCTGCGACTCCTACGACACCTGCAAGTTTCGCACTCTGGAGTATGGAGGGGCCATCCTTGGCTTCGGAAGCGAAATAACGTGGGACAGTGGCAGCCCATCAGGCTTGCGCACTGCTGCGCGATATTTGAATGCTGAGAGGGATGATGAGGAAGCCGAGCTGCCCTGACTGTCAAGAAAAGAAGTTGAATCGATCTGCTTCACCTTCGCACAATCTTTTTGGTACCGAGTCGGATCCTCTCGTCTTGAGAGCTGCTGCGTTGCTGGTCGCTCCTCCCACGCTTGGAAGACTCTTCTGTTTCCAGGCCGGCCATCTCGATGCAGTGGACCGCCGAACAGTGATTCTACCCGAGGGCGCACATCTGTTGGAGGCGTGGCTGACAGGGCCGTCTGACATGGTGAGGATGTATGGCCACGGTCGTCTTGATGCATTGATTCATGCATGATCGAACGAGTGCTTATTCCGGCATTAGCATGTGTATGAAATTCCACAGCAGTGCAAGACGTGCAACCATGCAATCGCGTCAAGCAAGTGGCACAGGACAATGCCATAACATAGCTACATCGGAGCAGGCTTTCTAAATCCAAATATACCAGTACCCGAATGCACGGCGAGTCTTGCTGCCATTCCCTGCCGCTCTGCAGGATTCGCTACGACGGTTGGCGAAGGAACTACTCCTCGGCGAGGTGACGCCGTGGATGCCAAGCTTGTCGTGCTTTACAATTGGCGTTAGCACGAAATCGCCATCGCTTCTCAAGCCTTTAGTGCCTGCAATGTTGAAGACCGCACGATCTGCAACAGGCCGGTCGCACGTCCGCTCCCGGTTCAGAGGCTGGCTTCCCAAGACAAAGTCAGAATATCAAAGTATCAACAAGTCTCCCAAGTCTCGTGGTTCTGATGTCCTGTCGAGCGGTCGAGCGCAAGTCCATTCATTTAAGTAGGGGGCCAAGTTTTTTGTGCACGATCAAGAATAGTACAGCAGCGCAGTCACGTGTTCGCACCGTGGCGCTTCAGGCTCGGGAGTCAAGCAGAGACTAGGGCCGCAGCGTGGAGAGTGCATGCCCTTCGTCGGTTCAGGTCTGGCGCATCAAGGGCCTGGTCCAAGTTTCAGGCAAGAACTGCTGTCGCGCATTTGCCAAAGCACGTTATGTTTGTGTCACTTGTAGAGGGACCCGTTGCCTTCCTGCCTTTTCCATAGTTCCGAATTTTCGTCCGTCCCGTGATGCCTGACATTTGAGACACAGTTCCGCCGTATCCTGTCCGTGCGATAGGGCTCCTTGTATCATCTCGACCTCAGTCCAGCGCGCGATTTCGCAGGCGACATTACTTGTAGGAAGTGAAAGTGCTTCTTGACGTATTCGTTCACGTCGTCCCCCAAAATTTTTCGTTACACCGGTGCAAGAGAAAGATCTTACTTCTGGCCACAATAGCAATAGAAGCCACAGCGGTGATTTTTTCAGAGCTTCCCCAATTCCACCTCAACTATCGCTTCATCTCAATTCAGGCTGCTGCTTCAGCCCGAACCCCATGCACCGAGGCAGCAACCCAGGTCTTAACCCGAGGCAGCACCCAAACTGCGGCAGCATGCACTTGGTATCAATTTTGGCCAGAATGTTTGATCCAAACAAAGCTCGCCTATCGTTCCACCTCAGAAATTGAGAGTGTTGCTTCAGGGGCAGGCAGCCCTCTGAAGCAGCACCCGAAGTCGAGGCAGCACATAAATAGAGGACCCCTTTGCCGTGAATGCCTTGGTTCTCGCGCGGTGATAGGCCATGGAGTGACGCTCCTCCAAGGGGTCGGTGATCAGGCACAGCGGTCTGTCCTTGGTTTACTTCGGTGCTGGGTTGATCCTGAGTCTTGACTGCATGATTCTGTTGTTTAGGACTCCGGGTCTTAGGGTTGAGTGCATGGAGATTAAGTCCCTCATGGAAGGTAAGTGCTTGTATCGTAGTGATGCAAGCTGCTGCTGAACAGGTCTCTCTGGAAACGTGGGCAGATCCCGTTAAGGCCTCATCCTACAGCGTGAGCAGATGGGCTGGGTGCTTTTGATCGAGGCGGCCGTGTTAGTGAATCCTGCCACATGGGCATTTTGGGCAGGTCTTTTTCCTTGTCTTCATCGGCGTTGAGCTTGGGCAGGAAGTGTTGGAGGTCCGAGTTTTCTTCGTCAGACTCGGGGCATCCTTGCCTTGTCCCAGGCTGCCGTGGCTGCTTGCCGGGACAGATCAGAGCCCTCGCAGGCCCTTGCCGATGCGGAGCGCGGCCAACGAAGCTGTGGCTTTAAGCCATACTGAGCCGACGGCAGGGACCGCACATGCAGCGGCGGTTCCGAAAGGTGTGGGCAAATGTGGGCAACTCGAAGCATCGAAGAGGGCGGAAGGAAGGTCTTGGGCACAGGCTGGTGGCTCCCGGGCCCCGGTGTCTCTTCGAGTACGCCTCGCCTCACTGCAAACCGCGTACAAACGTCGAAGCCAACATGTGCCTCGCTGCGTTGGGTCGGAGTCGGAGTTGGACAAAGTGTGCGACGAACGGTGCTAGTCTTCGTGCCGGAGCTCGAAGCCGGAGTCGGTGCCCGCTGTGTGAGAAATGGCCACTGGGATCATGGCTGCGAGGGAGAGTTTTGATTGGAATGTCGTTGATTGCGTTTTTGATGTATTTTGGTTCGGGGAAGTCGCTGCCATTGCATTTCCATACTTCGCTGATTTGGCTTCAAGCTTTACTGTACAGACAGCCTAACTTGGCCATCGCTGATTGGCTTTCAATTCGTATCGGTGCCGGCCCCACGGACTGTGACTCTACACTGTTGTGAAGCAAAAGGCAGAAGCTGGGCTCAATGCATGGCCTGCAGCCGCAGGTGCCGATGTTTGGGGGAGGCTTCTTCGGGGGCGGCGGCGGTGAGGGGCGCACAGGACTCGGATTCTGTGCCGCAAGACGTCTTGGTCGTGTGTCTACGTGCAATTGACTCAGGCGGCCCAGCTGGCTTCTTTGGCCAAAATGCCAGAGGTGCTGAATATCGAAGTTCGCTGCGTTCGAGACGACGGTTCGAGCTTGTCGAAGCAGTTTCCCCTGTAAGTTTGATAGCCCTTGAACAGTTGTTAGTGTTGCTTCTTCCGTCTTGTCTTTGTGACTCTTCTTTATGCGAGTGATGACTGCGAAGGCAACTTCAAAGCGGAGTACGACGTTTATCCGGTTTCCGGCTTGGAGTTCTGACAGGTCTCCAGATGTCTTCACCATATCGTTCGTGCAGACACACACACACACACAAACATGCTTTCACATCCTCGTGACTTTGGCCACGTGAACCTGTTGAGGTCAGCTTTATGGGCAAAGAAGAGCTGGAAAAGGGAAACAAGTGTGCCCGGCCACCTTGTGGTGAATGCGAATGCCTCTAGTGCTCGCTTTTGCTGCCTCTAGTTCCAGCAACTCTCTTGTCATTGTATGACGCTTTGGATCTCAGACTTGATTGTCTCCCCCTTTGCGGCTCTGGAATGCAGCTGTTCCGAAACGGAAGCCGAGCACATTCAAGACAGTCCAAGCTAAGCAGTGCACCTCCCAGCGGGCTGAAAGGGCACTGACGGAGAGTTGCTGCTGCCAGAAAATTCGCCGCAAATCCATCGTTTCTTCTTGGTGCCTTCTAAAAACAGAGAACTCAGCGGACAATCGCGACGATCGTCGCAGACGTCGGTTTCAACGCGGTGGTAGTGGTAGCAATAGTCGCGGAAGTAAGTATCAGTTCCAAGTTGCAGTGGTCATCTTAGTGGTCGGTGGTAGCACTAGGAAGAACATAAGCAGCAGACAGACTGTGACAGAGATAGTAGCTGCATTGATAAATTATTGCTTGAGCAGGAGGGCTAGTCATAGCAGAGCAATGCCAGTGGCAAATCCACAAAGGAAGCAGCAGCACTAGGAATGCCAGTAGCGGTGAATTGAAAATCAGCAAGCAAAGGGTTAAGGGTACGGTTGTAGACGGGTGAGTTCACTCATAGCAACAGTCTCGAAATCAGCTATCCGTGGATGCGTTTCAGTGCCGAGCATACTCACATTGCACTTGGATTCGCCTGGTTTTAGGGTGGTTGCAGCGGCAAACGGCCAGAGGCAGAGGCAGAAGTGGATTTCAGAAGTTAGTTCTAGTTTGGGCCTGTGCATGTCATGCGGCCTAGCTAGCTTAGTCGAACTAGCCAGCAAGTGGTTGATACGGCCGCAGCTCTGAATTGCCGTTGAACCCCACAGCCTACGGGGCTTCTAGGCCCTGAAAGGTTCGAGCTGATGCAGACGCCCGGCCAGGATCATTCTGCCGCAGTCCGCGCTGGACCGGCTGGCACGGCTGAACATTTCCTGGCCTATGCTCTTCGAGGTTCTAAAGTTGAGATGCTTGTTTTTTGTGGTCGGTGATGTTTCCTTCTGTCTGAAATGTGTCAGATGACGAACGTCGCCACCTCCAGATCTACCCACGGAGGTGTCCAAGAATTCAGTGTGCGGCACTCAGGAGAACATGGATCGGGGCAGCTGACTTCTGAACGTGCTTCTGTGGATGTCGCTTCGTCACAGGCGGAAGAGGGAGTCTGCTACTTCCCATATTGGATGATGTGACGTCCTCAAACATCAGATGGCCCTGCACTTGAGCTCAATGTATCTAGCAACTAGCAGCTAGCAGACCTAAAGGTAGTTAATGACTGATAGTAGTCGCCTGCGACTACTAGGCAAAACCTTCTCCTGGAAGTCGGCTCCAGGGTCGAAGCCTGTAGCTCAGCGAAAGGGGAAGACTCTTCCGTTCAAGTTCACGTGGCATTGATATAGCTGGTCTCGCTCAGATCACCAACACCTCGTTGCCAAAGGGGAGCTTTGTCAAGCTCCAGCCCGTTCATTCTGCCATCCCAGCCCGGCTTGCGGAAGCTGTCACGCTTGCAACCTTCCGCTGCCTGGCCAGGATTTTCTCGAAATCCACAACCCTCGGGCAGTCTTGGAGAATTCCTTGAGGAGATCTTGTCTGAGTTGGGCGGCTTGAGCAACTATCGGACAACGACAGCTGCAGGAATTTCGCCACGCTGACTGTCGGGGACTGCATTGCAGGGATCCTCAGAACAAGATGCCGAAGACTGCACCAACATTGCTTCCAATGCCTCATTCATGATTTCAACCTGGCCGAGCGAAGTCTGCAAGACGAGTCTCAAGAAGTGGTGGACCTTGACTGATCTGCTTGAAAATGTATTGCTTTCCGTTTCGTTCTGTTAATGCTCTGCTATTAGTTCTCCATTCGTTGTGGTGGATCGCAATCATCACTGCAAGACAACAGCACAGGCTTCGACGAAGCTCATATGTTGGTTTTTGTCATAGTTGGTTGCGGATGCAGAGGTAGTGCGCCGAAGAACTTCGTTGGATGCTTGCACCGGTGTTTGACTGTCTTCTCAGATGGTCTCCGATGTCCGTGCTGATGCCGTGCTTGTCTGATTGTCTCCACGGACATATCCAGAGTTGGTGCACTCTTTTCAATCATCAGTCTTCGCCCAGGTCATAGACTACAATCAAAGAAAGTACGAAATTGAAATTGCAGAGGCTTGGGCACGGCATTCCTTCATGCAGCAAACTGTCTGCCCTGTTCAGTGCAAGCCGACGAAAGCGATTTCCATCATCGAAGCCGATGTAAACGTGGATTTTGCGCCTCCGAAGGATTACCAGGACTGCGCAGCTTTTCACTAATCAGGGGTCACCCGCAGTGGCGCAGTGCTGGTTTCGCGTCGTCCGCGTGAAGGTCTCACAGCCTAAGCCACATTTACAGTTCTGGCAGACTGAGCTCCGGAGGAGCCCCCGCCTCCTTCCGCAGCTGCAGAAATTGCGGGTGCCTCCTTCGCTACGAAGGCGTTGCCGGGACTAGTATTGAACGAGCAGCATTGGAAAGGTGTGTGTGCAAGGTTGTTGAGTACTATCATGATGTTTCCCAACCGGCCCTGCCGCGATTTATGCGTCAATCCATGCGCATGATTATGTGACTGCGCATAGGTAGAGGAGGCGGATGCCGCGGCTCCAGAGGTGCGGCTGCCAACGCTAGCTAAGCCACTGGTAAGTCGTGCTGACGCATCTTCTTGGTGATGCTTGCGCCCAGACGACCGGCTCTAGCTCGAATCGGCTCTTAGCTCTCCCGGAAGCAATGGGCTGCTCAGGCTCCACATCCGCAAAAGCGCAGCCAGCGCAGCCAGCGCAGCAGACTGCACCTCCAGCGCAGCCAGCCGCACCTGCAAAAGAGACCGAACAAGCCGCCACCGTATCCGCCGTCCCTGAGCTGGATCGGGCAGTGCTGGAGAAAGCTGTGGAACACGACGGTCCACAGAAGTCTCATGACGAGTCCAAAGCGGAGGACACAGAGACCGTGACAACTTTGCCGAAAGAGGATTCGCCACTCTTTGGTCGCGATGTCAAGGTCGAAGGGGCTGCACCGGCTGGTTTGTGCAGCTGTGCCGGCCTGTGGTGAGATGAAGGTGACTGTCCCGACAAAATTACAAGGGGCTTGTGATGGCATGCCCCTAGCCGTGCGCCGAGAAGTCTAAAGACTAGCCAGCATCAGACTTCTTTTTTGCAAATTAAAGTGGGCTGGAGTTGCAAACAGGCGGCCGCCACGTAATTCAATACTGTTCATGCTGCTGCATAAACGGCCAGCAAGACGGCAGCGTTTCGACAGCTGGAAAATTTGCTAAGTGATAATTTTCTCCTGCAGCTGGTGCCAGCCATTGCATCAATTCTTCTTCTCTTCTTCTTCTTTTTCTTCGTCTTCTTCTTGCTGTCTTTGTGGCACCATTGTTGGTCACCACCGCTCAATGCATGCAGGAGACGGCGGCAGCTCTTTTTGGGGGGAGCGGGCAGAGCTTGGCACTCAGAATGTGAGTGTTTTCTGCACCACTGTGACCACTGTTCTTCAGGAGTTGATGGGAAGCCCATTCGGACGCCACTGTCCTCACCCGCGGCAGGCTCTCCGATATACGGAGAAGGAATTGCAAGTAGCTTCTCCGACATGCCAGGTCCATCTCCCCCACCGATGCCTGACGAGGAGGTTCTCATGCCGTGGATCAAGAGAATACCGGGAGGTGGGCAAGACGGCAAGACTCTGCAATGACATGAGTGTAGTGAGAGTAGGTTCGCATCCATTCTGGCTGACGGGTCAGGCGTCAAGTGGACAAGCCCACCTTATGGCTATGGAGAGAGCCACATGACTGGTGCAAAGGCCCGAACTTGGTGTACAGAGCCTGATAAAAAGCCTTGTCCCAGAGGCATGAAGGCTGCGGGCTGCGGAGCACAAGCCGGACGTGAAGCATCGAACAGATCTGCAGACAGCATGTGCCCGCAGAACGTTGAGCAGGGTTCTGGCCGTTGCAAGAGCCTACACCTGCTTTCAGCAAGATTTGAAGTGCTGTGGCGTTGTGTTGCTCTCAGTTGTGAGTCAGGTTGGCTCAAGCGTGGGCCAACCAACACACACATGGTGCCTGAGCAGCAAGGCCACTCCAGCAACTATTGCCTGGCTCAGGCTTTGGCAGTCCAACCTCCAAATCATAAATCGATAGCACATTGCATGCGCTCCAGAATTTCCAGGCAATGGTAACCAACAAAAATGGGAGCGCCCCTTCACTAGGGCTCCAGCTGCGACGAGATGGGAAGACGGAAGATCCCACCGAAGCATCCCTGGCACCGTGTCTAGCAAGCTCCAGCGCTTTTCAAGGGCCTCCGTCGTTGGGGTTCGAGGAGATGGTGCTCCGCAGCATTGCGTCTGATTCTGTGCAAGAGACGTGCGGCATGGACTCAGAAGTTTCATTCATCGGAGTCTTTACCGGAGTTCAATCTGAGGTGATGGTGTACCTTGCTGCCTTTGATGAGGATTGGAAGCGATGGGAGCTGCCTTTCCCCAAAAACAAGCAGGACGTTCGTCCGTCAGCCCTTTTCGGGCGTGGCGAGTTTGCCGTTGCTGTAGTGGCGCCTGCGAAGGAGTTCAAACAGTTCGTGCTTTTCGACAAAGCCCTGAGGGGTGCCCAGTCGGATGAGAAGGACGCTGGGAGCAGAGACACGCAAGGTCTTGTACTCGCTCTCTGATGCTTTCTGTTTCGTCTGGTACCACAAGCCGTCACTAGCCATACCAGCCTTGGAACGATCGCAGAATGTCCTCACGAAGAATGTCAATGCAGCGGCGCGCGTTGCCCTTGACATGACGACCGACTCAGGCCGACTGTGGCACTGTATACGCCTTACGCAGACAAGCATTGAGTTGCGTTTGTGCCTGGGCCAAACGGCCGAGCTCTTTGTCAAGTCTTTACTGCAAGATCCGTATCGTGTCAGCACGGCTTTGAGCTGGAAGCCAAGTTAGTGTGCTCTAGGCCATAACTGCGGCGCACTTGAAACTGGAATCTTTAGAGCTCCAATGGCCATGAATAGAGCAAAAGTAACAGAATCCATTTTACGGGACGTGACAGGCATTGACCACGTCATTTGTCGGCTCCGCTTGGTCTCAAAGGCCCGCGTCTCTGCATGTCAGTGTGGTAGCTACTTGAGCAGGTCTCTCAATTGACTCAATATGTTGTCGCAACACCTCTTGTGCGAGGGCTGAGGAATTCGCCGCAGAATCACGCAGAGGTAGCATGTGTCCGACTTGAGAGCCCTGCGTAAGAATCTCAAGATCGAGTCGACGTTCACACTACCACGCAGAGTCAAGTCGTGAGATGATTATCGGAATGCTGGCTTCCGACCCAGGATAACAATGCACACCAAGAGACGGCTGTCTTCACGATCGACTCGATCTTGAGGCATGCAGCACAGAACAAAGACGAGGTTGGGATTGAGATTCTTCATGCAGTCGCTCTGGCAAGTCCATACCTGCGAATCGGAACCAGCTATGCAGCTACACCCGAAGGAGATCCGCAGTCTCTATGAAAGTAGGTTCGAAAAACATCTGCGCCCCGTGGCTGCATGGGGAAGCCAGGAGAGTTCTTTCAGAGCGGGCACGAACGCTCAGGCCACGTATTCAAGCGTGCCATTGAAGCAGTGACTTCGCGTGCCTCCCTGGCTTCCAAATTCTTCGAGATCTTGGGGAAGTGGAAGGAGAGAGGATGGTTCCAGGAAGCGATCCTCGGTTGCACGAGGCAAAGCTTTGCCTGAAGGGCTGTCCACCCGACTGTAGTTTTGCAGAATCAGCTAGGCTCACTCTTGAAATCCAGATGTGTCTCCTACTGAGTTCTTTCTTGGATGGACAGGCGTGCGTTTGGGGCTGGAGTTATAAGGGTGCCGAATCCCACTGATGCAGGATTCGTTTTGCCGCATCGGATGTGTAGTCCGGATCTCGGATAGCACTACTAGCACCACAAAGACAGAATACTAGCATACTGCCAGGGCACCCGGATTGGCCCCAGCAGTGACAGGCAACATGCTCCCTCAGTTCCGAAGCGGTTTCTTATGCCTTTAGGCCGGCACGAAGACCGAAAACACAGTAAGCATCACGCCGGCCTCCATTGGTTGGTCTGCGGTAAGGGTAACAACCTAAAGCGTGGGAGTAGAATGGAAGCCCCACCGTTGTCGCCTCGAGGCTTCCTGACGTTGTGAGCGTCGTCGAGAAAGCCGCACCCGATGTGTCGAAGCCGGACAGGCTGATTGCGGAGGATATGGATGTGGACGAGACCAGTCCCCTGTCCTGAGTGTTTTGTACTCGTAGAGGCACTCAACTCGGGCATGCGCGGAAGTTCATGATGGAGGCGCTGGTGTTAGTACTCGTTGCATGTCCGTCTGAGGCGAGGCAGAACTGGTAGCTACCTGGCAGCAAAGGGTGCAGTGAGATCTGTGCTCGTCGAGAGCTTCGAAACATCTGTGCCCCTCTATGGCACAGCCAAGGAGGAGCCCTTGAAGGATGCTGAGTCTGCTTTCTCCAACGTGATGCAGTCCGTGCCAGTCACCCCTGGAGCAGCACTGAGATGTGGGCAGGGCATGCCGCGGCTGCTTTTTAGCACGACAGCTTTGTGCACCTTGCTTCTGAGGCATGCCGGCCGCTTCGAACACGCCTACCGGACAGCCCATGACACCTGGCTACACGAATACAATCCCTGCGCCGCTGACACCAGGCAGTATGAAGATGCCGGGAACTCCTTTGCCAGGAACTCCGTCATACCTGAAAAACATACCGATGACACCGACTACCTCTCATGTGTTGAATTCCATCCCGTCTACACCCAACTTCACCGGCTTCGCCGCACCCATGACGCCGAATACCACCCAAGTGATGAATTCCGTCCCGGCGACACCGGTACTAAATTCAATGCAAGGACAGGGTCTTGCTGGTATTGGGAGTTTGGGCCCGGCGCCGCCAAGTCCACCTGACGACTCTGCAGTGCCAGGGACGCCGAAGATTGCTCCAGCGACACCGGGGACGATGAAAGTCCTGGACTCGGTTCCTGCAACCCCTACAGGCCAAGCGATGCCAATGACGCCGGGAACTGCCGCGGTGTTGCAGTCCGTACCCGCGACTCCTGTTCTTGGAGCCCAAGATGCTCCTGGCACGCCATTTGGGAAAGCAGAACTAGTACCCTCCACTCCTGTCCAAAACACGATTCCAATGACTCCTGCAGGCATACCATCCACTCCTATGCAGATACCATCCACACCACGGACCCTGACAGCCGGACACATTCCTTCCACGCCGACTGGAGCGGCGCTTAGGGGACCGGCGCAGCCCTTTACTCCTGCAATGCCCCAAACCCCAACGGGGGCCGGCATGGTGCCCCAGACTCCATACAGCAGCGGTAGAATGCCACAAACACCGGCAGGGGCTGCGCCGCAAACTCCAGGGGCAGGTGCACCTCAAACACCGTACAGCAGCGGCAGAATGCCACAAACACCGGCAGGGGCAGGGGCTGCGCCACAAACTCCAGGGGCAGTTGCACCTCAAACACCATACAGCAGCGGCAGAATGCCACAAACACCGGCAGGGGCAGGTGCTGCGCCGCAAACTCCAGGGGCAGGTGCACCTCAAACACCGTACAGCAGCGGCAGAATGCCACAAACGCCTGCAGATGCGCTTGCCCAGCCTGGCACGCCAGGCATGCCAGGTGCGAAGCCCCACACCCCTGCAGGGACGCCAGCAGCAAGAGGCAAGCCACCTGCAGGTACTCACACACCAGCAGGACCACCCCCGCCGACACCAGCATCAGAGGGTTCCAACCAGCCACATACACCAGGCGGGCCGCCACCACCCACACCAGCATCAGTGGCTTCCAATCAGCCGCATACACCAGGCGGGCCACCACCACCTACACCAGCATCACAAAATTCCCGGCAGCCGTATACTCCGGCTGGGCCACCGCCGCCGACACCAGCAGCATCAGTGGCTTCCGATCAGCAAGCACCTGGAGGAGTTCATCCGGCCTCGCCAGCATCGCAGGCGAGCAATCAACCCTACACACCTGGCGGGCCTCCGCCACCAACGCCAGCATCGCCGGCAAGTAATCAGCCATACACGCCATCTGGGATGGAACCCAGGACACCGGCATCACCCGGCCAGCATGCTCCCCGCACACCAGCAGGACCTCCGCCTCCCACTCCCGCCAATCAACCCCGCACGCCGGCAGGGCCTCCTCCCCCCACTCCGGCCAATCAACCCCGCACACCAGCAGGACCTCCGCCTCCCACTCCTGCTAATCAACCCCGCACGCCAGCAGGACCTCCTCCTCCCACTCCGGCCAATCAACCCCGTACCAATCAACCCCGCACACCAGCAGGACCTCCACCTCCCACGCCTGTGAATCAACCCTTCACACCGGCAGGACCTCCACCTCCCACGCCTGTGAATCAACCCTTCACACCAGCTGGACCTCCACCTCCCACGCCTGTGAATCAACCCTTCACACCGGCTGGACCTCCACCTCCCACTCCTGTAAATCAACCCCGCACACCAGGAGGCAGTATGCCCGGCACTCCTGGATTCGTGCCGGTGCCTGGTGGGGATTTTATTATTCCGATGACACCCGCCATGCTCCCAGGCACACCAGGTCGAGCACCAGGAACCCCCGGATGGGTGCCAATTCCTGGAGGGCACCTTGCTCCAGCGACACCTGGGATTCCAGATGGAGCTGCATCGCCAGTTCCATTGCATTCACCTCTGCCATGCCCAGGATCTGCTCCGTTGGTATCTCCAGACATGCTTTCGTCGGAGAGGAATTCTGCGCTGCCAGAATCATCACTGTTGGGCGATTTCAACTCAGCGGATATGAACTCAGCAGAGATGATGGCGTCACCAGAGATGCTTGAGGAGCCTCAGGAGCCTGAGGTGCCAACTGTGACGGAGACCTTCTCTATGCCGACATCGTGGATAGAGGGCACCGCAGATCCTCCTACCGAGGCATCTTGCATGCGCTTTGCTCACGGCATGGCTCGGTTCTAGTCGGTCGGTGACTTCAAGCTTCAAGTGTCATGTCATGTTCGCACAGTCCACATGCAGGTAGCGACAACAGTGTCGGTCTCAGAACCAAGTGCGGAGGCAGGAGTCTGCGTAGGCATGTAACTGCTGTAAGTCGCAAGTTTGAATCGTGCTTTGTGCAGCACCGTGACAGAGATAGAGCTGATAGAAGTCTGTGAGACTGTTCGTGGCAGGGAGCGAAGAGACGTCGCCTGAATGCCTCTTGACTGAATCTGTTTAGTAAACTCCAAGCCATCAGCCAAGTGTTTGCGTTAATGTTGCACAGGTCCCCTGAAAGAGGCCAATAGAAGTCAATCGAACAAGAGCATGCTGCAGCGAAGGTTGCCCATGGTGACAGAGCCAGCGACGAACCACCGACTCTGCCACCTGATGCGCACAAGCCCTTCCGAACTTGATCTCTTGACTCTTCTTGTATTCCATGTGAATGGATCTGTGGCAGAGCAGGTGAGATAGGTGGGTAGTGGATAGCAGTCTATTCCCTTAAGTTTAGCCTGCAGCCATGCTTGTAGCCTGAATCTCATCTTCCACTTGCCCTCAAGCTCAGGACAATCCCATCTAGTGATGCCGCATCCACGGAAGAACCACCTCGATGATCCTCGACTTGCAAAAGCTGCCGGAGGCCACGCCACCTGCGGGTTAGCACGGACTCGTGCACGACAATGTGGGGTCGCTTTTGCTTTTTTTTGTTGCAGACCCGTGCCGTGCTGTACGGTTACAGGCTTGCACAGCAGCCTCGACGAGATGCCTCTGAGGACCAGCACTGGACTAGACGTATCAAGACGCTCTGCCGGTGCTTTCAGAGATCCCCGCATAGCTCCTGCCTGATCGGACAGTATGCGAAGCGGAATGGTAGAGCTCCTAGGGCAGAAGCCCATGGGTGGAGGGCGGTCCTATCCTGCAAGTTGTAAGACGGTTCACCACTTGAAGCGACAGCGACAATCGGACTGTTTGAAGTTTGAGTACACCATGCATGGATAGGACAGTGCCCCACCCTTCAGGCTGCAGTCCTAACTGCAGCTTTGTCCGCATGACTTCCGGAGCTCTGAACAAAACCTCTCGTGAAGATTGCTGCAGTTGCCACAGGTCGTCTGCGAAGCCATGGCCATGTCAAGATGTAAGAAAGATGCAGAGAGATGGGATAGCCCTGTGTGATCAGTACAGTCGTCAGGGCGCATGTCATGTCGGCTCAGCTGGCTCGGGGAATGTGCAGAAGACACTGACATCATGATCAAGGAGACTAAGCTCTGAACTCAGCCCGATATGTGTCTTGGAGGGACTAGAAAGCGGCATTCCGAAGCCAAGGTTTGCGCCGACAGGCATTCTGTACTCCAAGGCAGAGAATGGGCAGCAGAAGGGGCCGTGCCTTGTCCAGGACACCTCCCCTGGTGTACGAAAGCCCTGAACGTCTGCTGGGCCGTGTACTCTTTTGGACGATTGTGCCAAAGAGGTAAAGTAGATCTCTAGAAATCACAGAAGCAGTGTAATCGTTTCATCTCCTGGAAAGGCTCGTGCGCGAGTTTGGTTGGAGCGCCGGCAAGATAAGAATGCAGTGTCGTGCCGTAGGGCCCCAAGCCAAGCGAATGAGTTTTTCAGCGAAGCTGAGGTTCAAGGTGGGTGGCCTCGAGCGCGCCCCACGAAGCGGGGAGCATCCCTTCGAGGCGCTCCAGACCGGCGCCTTCAAGACCAAGGCCCTGAAAACCGAGGCCACAGGGCTCTAGCGGGTTCCTTTTCGGGCCATTCCGAAAGTGATCCAGGCCTTGGGTCCGCATCCCTTCACCTGCCCGGAAATACAGCATCGAACAGCGCTTACTGGTTGTCTGTTGTCTATTCGGCAACAAAAACACTACCCAATCGAGTCAGCTCAGATCATGTGACAGGGAGTGCTCAGCGGCGCTAACGGCCGACAAAATCAGTTCGCCCTTGCTGCGAAGAGCTTCCAGGCGGAAATCTTCTCAATGCAAATCAGATCCGAGAGTCTTCTTCGGGCTCTGATGTGTTCACGTTCTGCTGAACAGTTTCACACACGGTCTCTGGCCAGTGAAGTCAGCTCTGAGATGCTTCCGTTGTCGCCTCCAGTCAAGACTCCTGAGACTGTGACCTTGGCAGGGTCCGCCAACGGTGAAACCTGCCGGTGCCATTGGTGATGGCCTGGAAAGTCTGGAGTCGAAAGCTTTCGAGTGAAACGGCGAATCCACATGATTCATGATTACACCAATGAGCCGTAGAAATCAGTGAAAAGCCACGCAAGCAAGCAAGCAGACCTGCACGAATGACTGCACATCACCCTGACCTGCCACATGGCCCCCCCATTCACCAAAGCTTCCACGGACAGAAGTGTAGCGTGCCTTTCGGCGATGAGCGGCACTGCTTGGAAACAAGTTCCGTCACTTCGATTTGGTGACATGAGTTTGAGAGACTGCGAGGGCTAGGCAGAGCACATAAAGCAGATGACATACAACTTTTGTGGTGCCTCTTGAAGCCTGGCTCACAGCGTCCTGTTGTACCATGACTCGGCAGGCCGGCCTACCGTGGCAAATTCGCTGCATAGCAATTTCTTTCTTGGGTTTTAGGGCGAGGGAATGCTGGGACAAGCTTTGTATATGAAGTGTTTTGTGCTTGTTGTCCTCATAGTTGCGCACTCCCGCTGGCAGGGCTATCTTCTGCCCAGGGGGGGCATGCCCGTTCCAGGTACCCCTCAACGCACGGAGCTAAGCCGGTGAGCTGGGCATGGTGGGTCTACACCTTTGCCATGCCTTGATACTTGAGGCATCATGGAAGATGCTGAGGAGGTGCCCAGCACAGAGCTCTGTGAGAAGTGAGGTGTGGCGGCAGTTGCGGATGCCGGGATACAATGTCTCGGATACTGATAGTGACATGTTTTTAGTTTCAGATACGTGCCCGTCGACGCAGTTCTTGAACTCAGCACAGCTGCAGGTCGATGTCGAGGATTCGCCACGGCTGCCGTCAGACTGGTCTCCGCTCGAGTATGAGCTTCTGGAGTGCGCAGCAGAGAGTTCTCGTGGCTGAGAAGACTTGGAATTTTGTTACATCTTCTCCTCAGCAGCTTAGCAGAAGGCCTAAGATCATTTCTTCTGTGGAACCACCTTGATGTGGCCCATCCTCGGAGGTATGCAGACTCCTTGCCTTCTGGCTTTGCTGAGCGAATCGGCAGAGAGCTAGAGGCATTGCGCCCAATCATGCGGATGACTTGAGCACCGCTGATGATTGATGAGCTGTGCGCATCCTTTTCCAGCATTGGGCTCACTGCAGGCTACAGTCTAGAAGATTCTAGAGGCTTCACTTGGTTTGTGAGATGCTATACCTGTCCTTATGTCAGCGCGTCTTTGAAGGGGCAGCATCGTCGAGTGGCGCAGTTGCGCAGCCTCAACTCTCTGATGCTCCACGTCCTCCAGTCCGAGGCCGGTCCTTTGGAGGCATCTCCGCGATTTTTGGGCTTCTTGCAGTCTGGTGTTTTTGTCCTGTGCAGGGGCTGCTGGCCCGCAACGGAACGGCAAGCCAGGCAGAGCAATGCAAAGCACGAGACGTGGAACGCACCTTGCATCCCCAAACACCCCACGAACCTGAAATGCGAACGCAAAGGCATGCAAAGGCGCGGACCTGGAAACGGGCGTTCACAGCACTTGGGGCCCAGCTTGACATGACCGCACAACAACCCTGGAGCGAAGATAGGTCTCGGGCCTCGGGGCAACCCTGGGATGTCACATCGAGCAAGACATCATTTGAAATCACGTTCCATGGCCAGGGCTGACACTTTCTGCTCCCACGAAGGTGAAAGCGCTTTCGGAGACACGCCAGACCCATGCCTTGACCTCGCTCTGAAGTCTGGTTGTGACTATAGGCCTGGAAGTGGCAGTTTGAACTCAGGTAGAGACTCGGACGGATCGATCTCCGAGACAAGCGCCGGCAGTGCCCAAGGCTTGGCAGGTTCGGTCCTGAGTGGAGAACCCTTCAGCCTGCCCAGCCTGCGCGGGCTAAGGCTATGCAGAACCCAAGCTCTGCTTTTGATAGAATAATGTACAAAGGCTTCCATGATTCTGGTCTTGGTTCAGCGCATATGAACGAGTGTGACAGCAGCAGGGAGACCGTGCTTGAAGCACTTCCGCGACTCAAACTTTTCGCTTTTGCTCTTGCTGCGTCTCTATGGGATGTTTCCATTGCAGGAGCCAGCCGTGACGCCTCGGAAGGAGGCGCCGTGAGACAGCCGTGCCCAGGGTTGGCAGAGTCTCAGCTTGCGAGACGAGACGCCGAGGCTTCTCAGCGGTTAGTGCTGGCGTCCGTGTCCAGACAGCTGGAACTAAAGGTCTTCGAGGCAGGGCTTTGTGGCATTGCATTTCTGTCTCAACAAGCCAGCCAGCATCACAAGCCTGTTCTGGTACAGGTGCGCCGTGCCGCGGAGAAGGAGTTGAAGGACCCTCCATGTTCGTTGGCTTCGAGCCTGCGTTCGGGCTGACTGCACGGTGGAAGGAGCTTTCCCATCGAGTCCGAGCTGCAGAGGACCGGTCCTGTGGAGGTTGCACGCTTGATATGGCGCTCTGTGGTGGCATTTTTGGACAGAGAGGAGCACAACTGGAAGCTTCGTAAAGAGTCCTGCAGCGAAGACGTGGCTGGCCGAAAGAAGCTCTGGGAGGCTCGAAGAGCCCGGAAACAGATTCCTGGCCTTGCGCAGACGGCTTGTCCCAGATATCAGGGTGCTATGCTCGCAAAGACTACAGCCAGTGTGGTTGGGAACAGCGTTTCAAGACCTCGAGAGAGGCAGAGACGAAGCTGAATCGGCTGCAGAATCGTCGCAGCCCTGGCCAGAGCAGGGATTGAATGCCTGCTTGGACTGGGTTACAGTACCTGGAGCTGTCAATCGCCATGGGGTCAGTTTCCAGCCTGTGAGCCATGCCCCACGTCTCGCGAGGTGTTCAGCAGCTGGAAACCCGGCGTCGGACCTGCACCCGCAAGTTGCGACAGCGCGAGGAGGAGGCGCCGCGGGCACTTCACACCCCGAGGCCTCAAGGCGCCCAAGGCGCCCGGTCCAAATGCACCAAGAGCAGAGAAGGAGCTCGGAGCTCTCAGCGTCTGGATGACTGCATACAGTAGATGACATACAGGATTCTGGTGTTGGGGCTTGCCCCGGCCGTTCGCGTTCCTGCTAATGCTTCAGCCGGACTGTGTGCACTGCAAGCGTGTCCCGGGGATTCTTAGAAGACACGCAAAAGTTTTCCTCCCGGACACATCTTCAAAGTGAGATTCGCAAGCGACAGCCACGGCAGAGGTTCGACAGGTGACAGCCTCCATCGCTGAGATGTCGGCCGAGGTGCTGACTTTTGTATTTGAGATGCCTACTCGTACGAGGGATTCCGAGAGATAAGCATGAGACAATCATGAGACAGCTACACGAGCCAAAGCCGGTCTGGAAAGCCAATGTTGGTTTTCGCATGATTGTCCCTCCGTGGCACTGCCTTCAGAGTTCGAACCATGGGTTGAATCCGTCTCGATGCACCGGCTGACCGAATCACACAGCAGATGTAGAAGGTTAAAGATATTCAGGCAGTTCGGAACAGCAGCAGGGACAGCAAAGCGACCAAAAGCTCCAATGACAGGACAGCCTTAGCAGTGTACTTGGTAAGCCTTAGTGGAAGGGATGCATACAGTGTGGAATTGCTCGTGTTCTGATACCAAGACGTCAACTCTGCATCATTCAACAAGCTAGGATTCACCGTAGCTTCTAGGGCAAGGGTACATCCAAGGGCCCAAGAGTATGTCATCACATCTGGTTTGAAAGTTCCTGCGACGCATGTCGGTCTAGCTCAGTGGGATCGAGATCGAGGCCTCTGTGGTAGCTTCAGAGATCCTAACTCGTTTACACGACTGCCCAGCCAGGTCAATAGCGTGCGAGCGCAGGCGAAGGACCACAACCTCTGCCAGTCAAACCTGGTTATGCAAACACAGCTCCTCCAGTAAGAGCGAGCATTCCAAGTATGCACATTGACGTGGAGTCGGAGATTGCAGCGTTCCGGCTCTGAGGCCAAAGTGCCAACGCCCTCTGAGTGTTGCCTCCCTTCACATGGCACAAGAGACACCAAAAGCAGTAACATGTATGTAAGAAAGATACCAACAAGTCCATACATGCTGCATGTATGTGAGACTACGTGTGTAATATGTATGTATGTATGTATGTATGTATGTATGTATGTATGTATCTGCACACGAAGACTGGTATAAATGTCCACACACACACACACACCCAATCTGCATGTACACGTATGTTTGGGACGTACGGGAGTTGATGCACGAGGAGCCAGAGGTATTTGCACGGCCGGGCATGACGCAGAGAGCAAGCATCCATCTCATCTCCTCGTGCTCCTCAAGAGAAAGGCACCTCTGCTCTGCCATGGCGTTGATGCTTCACTCTGGTGTGGCGCTACCCCAGGCACCAGTCTCACAGAGTGGAAGTGACACAGCCTCGATCGTCGAGTCAGGACAGCATCTCTCAGCCCTTCAGGCCACGGGAGTGGGCCTGCGAGAGCCAGAGTGAGCTACGTTTGAAAGATCTGTGACCTTTCATGCCGCTATTGCTGCTCTGAGTTGTAGCTCCAGCTCTTGGCGCTGTGGCTTTGAGGCCGATTCCTCGCAGTGGTGCTGACCCAGAGGTCGGTTTCGCACCTGCGACGGAGGATCCGATGCAGCAGCACCGTTTGCAGGCAAATCGCCGGTCCAAGTCGCATCCTTCGCAGGCCAGGAGGGAAGCAGTTTCGCGAATGCTGCCGCAAAAACTGAAGCCACTCACCAGGCTTTCCGCAGGGCTCCATCCGAGTCGCAGCCTCGTGCACGGTCGGAGGAGGCTGCATTTGGACGAGCCACAGCACCAACTAGTGCAGGACTTGCTACCAGTAGTAGCCGAACGCAGGGCCCTGCTGCAAGCCCCGACTCATGGGATGAGGATGAAGATGAAGAGGCCTGCTGGCTACTCCTTCAGAGCCAGCCGTTGCCTTTCTGTCGTACAGGAAGACGTGGACTCCGAGAATGCTCAGACCTCGGCTGCTTTGCTTTGGGCACAACAACTCCAGGCAAGCCTGCCTGGGCTTCCCTCGTCTTCGTCGCATGTTGGCTAGGAAGGAAAAGCGGAAGGAAGGGAGGGAGAGAAGAAAGGAAGGAACCAACGAAGGAAGGAAGGAAAGGGATGGGGGAACGAACGAAAACAAACATGAGAGCAGGCAGCTGTGGGAGCCCAAAACGAGGCGCTGGCCGGCACATTTTCGACTATGAACGGGAATGTCGACCAAGCTCCAAAACCTTGAGGATTGGACATGCCTTGAACAGTTTAGCAACATTTTTTGGGGTGTGACGTTCCAGTTGTTCGGGAGACTGTGCGAGTTTTGTACACCTTCTCACATCTGAATGCGGAGCCGGGAAAGCTCCTAGCCCCGAGCCCTTGCGAGAACTTCACTCCAAGTGTAAATCCTACCAAGAACAACACGATAACAAAGAGCGTGTCCGGACAACAAGCAACAATGCCTGCTCTTTTCGTCTCTGTCTTTCGGTCTCTCTCTCTCTCTGTGTCTCTCCCTCTGTTTGCTTTTCGCTGTGCACTGCAATACATCCAGAGCCGTTATCTTGATCAGTTGGGTGACGGTCAACAGTTTTGAGGAGCAGCTCTGAAAGCATTCGCAATTGCAAATCCGCTGCAAGTGCCATATAGGAGCCACAGGCATAGGTGCAGACAGTGACCTGTGACCTTTTTTTCTAGGTATCTCAGGAGTCGGAGACCGAGCCGATCCGGGCGCAAGACCGGAACCAGGCCCCAATGCCCGACATGCGGCGACTGGGAGAGGACACGTGTTGATTCGACACTAGTCATCGTGTTTCAGGTCAGAGGGCTGCTCTTGCTTGCGCTGGATTTCGATCTTATGGCCCTATGGAATCGTCCATGTTGCTGGCATCTGTTTTCGTCGCGAGGAAGCCAGACGTGGCCCGCAGCGTCAGGTGCACTGCCACAAACCCCAAAGGGCCTCCATCTTCCCCAAGGGACTATCATCCATCAGACGTTCATTATAGAGCTTCTGGATGACCCCAAGGTGATCAGACCACTGCTTGTGAGGAATTGCTAAACTCTGCATTAGCTGCAGTACAGCTCCGTTTTCAGGCTGGCCCTCACTCTGGCGTGCCGTCTCCCGTCAGTCTCCAAGCATGGTTCGAGGCTGGCTCATTGCTCACATCAAATATGTTATACAGATCTGGTAGCTGCAATTAATTGTGCCATGTCCAAGCCCTGGGAAACAGGAGCTTGCCCAGAACCGAACGCCCACAGAGAACTACATGGATCAGGCGGGGCCTTTGGTAGCTCGTATTTGCAGGAGCCAGGATTGAGGCTCATGGCTGCTTTGCTGCTTCTGAAGCTTTGCGGAGCCACAAACGTCTGCCAAAGCATTGCAGCGCTCGTCCCCTCGAGCAGGACCCGACAGCCACAGCATCCGATTCTCGTCTGCACGACGGGTGCTGGGATGCTAGGGAGCTACGTTGCATGAAGTTGGGCCAGCTTGTGCTGCATCTACGTCAAGCCCGGTGTTGATTCCATCCAGTACAAGCCTGCTGCCCCTTTATGAGCTTTATGCCTTCTATTATGGTAGCCTTTGGATGCAGCTCTTGTGCTGATGTAGTCGTGTTCATGGTCTTGTTGTGAGACTGTGTGAGTGTTGTCGAACAGACAGTGTTGAGCCCAGGGCCTGCCTCACTGGTTCATCCCTGGCCACGCTGGGGCCTGCTGGGAATTGCTTCATCTTTATCGGGTGAGTTCCCATAGGCGGCTTTCCGCACAGTCACGATGCCCTGTGAAGGCTCCGATGGACACATCCGGCGTGCAGCAACTGACACCCACTCAGACCTTGCGGGCTATCCATCCCACTGCGGCTTGCCTTCAAACATCTGGGAGGGCGGAGGGGGGACGTGAATGCTATCATCAGCTCTCAAAGTCTGGGCCTGCCTGGCCTTGGATCCCCCTGGCCCCTTGCAGCCTTAACCCCAAACACACTCCAGTCCTAACGGACTACTGAAGGTGATCAGAGCAGTCTGAAGCTAACAGAACAGAAGCAGAAAGACAGGAAAGAGACAGTCCTACTGCTCAGAAATGAGGAACCGGGCCCCCCGGTGATATTCGCAGCGTTGACACCGTGGACCTCCTAAACAAAGGCAAAGTAGTTAAGGTGTGAGGAATTCCCATTGGAGCTTATGTGACGGGAAGGGAGACGGGACTGATGACAGAGAATGTCTTAACGCCCGTGCAACCCCCTGCACAAGTCAGAAGCATCCGCCTGCGCTACCGCAAGTGCTGAAGCCCAGGCACGTGACCGTCGGCAGGGCCGCCGCTCTGTCAGTGCGCCGCGGCTGTCCCGAGGTCGCTTAGCGTCCACCCCATCAGCTACTGCAGAACTCAGCCAGTATCCATCAGCTATGCTCCATGTCAGAAAATCGGGTCAAACAACACCACACAATTAATGGATGTAAATAGTTTGTGTGTTTGTGCTGCCATGAGATACTCCACATTGGAATGCCTCGTGTGAAATCGGGCCTTGGCTCGTGCACAATCCGCCCTGCGTCTTGCACGAAACGTGCTTTCTGGATGCCTCTGGCCTCAAGTCAAGTGGTGAGTTGGTCTCGACGCCAATGCGTCCCGTGCTTTACCTAAGCTGCAAGCAGCGCACAATCTGTTTTCGTCTTGCAGCTGCTTCAGGCAGCGCATGATACAGGCACCGCAATATAAGTCATAACAATTCAAACTAACTCCCTTGATCCTTTAGGTAGATCATGACCAGAAGACAGAAGACGTACAGCGCAGGGTCTGGCGTCGGTGCTGGTTTTGTTGTTATTGTCATTGTGATTGTAATTGTTACTGCTTGCGTGTCTGACAGCGTGTGCACGTGGTGTTTGGTCCGTTTGGTTGTTAAACTTGTGGTAAGAGTTTCGAGGGTTTCGATGCCTGATTTTGCGAAAAGACATACGCGTGGCATTGACATCAGAAATGCTGGGCTGAGAAGCTGTCCGAGAATGGATACTCACTTGCCGACTACGCTTATGATCGTGACTGCAAGCGACTTGTCGCGTCTCCACGCTTCATTTCTGACAAGCGGAGAGCGTTGCACTGTTCGGCACCAAGCCAGGCCGCCAGGCCAAGCCTCGTGTAGACTTCGCCCTTTTGGCCACTTGCTCTGACACGGATAGCTGTACATGAAGCAGACGGCAGGTCCGCAACATTGTGTGCTGCCACGTGTCTTAGCGTCTGTGTGCTGCTGGCAGCATGCCTATCTCGTTATGGTATTCGTGAGTTTCTTGCCGGGCTTGCAAAGAAATGGAGCAACATGCAAGGCCTGTGCCATGATTCGGTCGTTTTACCCGATAAGCGCTGCTGGTCGTTCGCTCCGGGTAATTCTTGTAAGAGTATGTACAAGTAATCAGAATTGTGTGCAGTGTATTCAATGGTTCGCTGTATTCCTTCCTTCTTTCGTGCAATTGAATGTCCGAACGCAGTGTCTGCGCTTGGAAAGGAGCCTGAGCCGCCGGGTTTTGTTTCATCGCATTCCTTTGCAAGTGCACAGGTCTGAGATCCTACAAGTCCTGGGGTTTCTGAGTTTCACTATGTTCGCGCGGTTCTTTCGGCAGTGAAGTATCAGTCTGTCCACAAAGCTTGTTGGAACATGCAGGTCACCATGTACCTCCAGAACGACGTGCCTTGCCTCAATTTCGACAGCATGCACTTGAGACCGTGGATTGGTAGGAAGCTCATGTGCCAGTATCTGTCGCGCCGTGACGCATCAACTTCGGCATCTCCAGTCCAGGTAATCCCCTTCCTGTGCGCCGATCGAACATGCCCAACAACTTATTGGACTTCCGCTCCAGTGACTGCGGCATGTGTTGCACTGCAGTGACGACCCTCTCGTCAGTCACACAGATGAGTCGCAGGCAAGACTTGACCAGGCCCAGGTGAACAGAATCTAGAGTTCTGTCCTTGGTAGCTTGGCAAGTCTGCAACAAGACCACTCCCCGCTCAACCTGAGTACTGAGCAGCAAGACCCATGCTCCGCTTTCTGTGACTGCTGTCGCACTGGCCTTTGCCAGTCCGGGTCTTTTCACCGCTGACGCCACTGGCCCGGGAAATGCAGATGTTTCATCGGGCGACCGGTGCTCAGGCCGGCTACTGTCTTCTCTTTGCGCATGTCTCTGTCGCTGACGTTCTCTTTGTCTCTTTGCTGCCTGTGGAGGTCTCGGCCCGGCCTGCAGCCGAGCAGGTGTGCTTGGTGCGTTGCGGTGCAGAAAAGAGGGAGTTCGTCTTCTGCTTCAGCCTGCCTGGTGTCGCAGGTGTTCACCATGGAGAGGCTGCGGGAGATTACCGCAGAGCGCCTTCGAATGATGCAGGAGGGCAGACATGCGCCGACAAGAGGGGGGGAGAGACGTGACGTGGGGAGAGACGTGATGTCCTTGCAGGGTGGGCCCTTTGCCATGAGCGCCTTTGCGGGAGCCCCGGCCCCGGCTCCCTGGCCCGGCCAGCGGGGCCTCGGCCTCTCACCCGAAGAGCAGCTTGGCCTGGAAAAACAGCGAGAGTGACTTGGAAACCGCCTGCAGCCGAGGCTTCTGACGGTGCGGACTGTCTGGAAGGTGTGGCAGTTGCACTTGCCGGATGTTCGTCTGAGAGGTCGAAGTGCCGCAAGCGGACTTGTGAGCTCGTTGCTCAGGTGAGCCGCGAGTCCGAGCTTTGCACTGACTTCGACTGCTGTGCCATTTGCTTGGACGGAAGCGACGACAAGCGCCACCTGTCTGGAGGAGCCGGGTACAGAAGGACGCAGCAGGACCTGTGTAGGACCTTTGATATTTTGTCGGCTCGGCGTCTGAGCTCCGATGCTGAAGCATGGACAGTCGTAGTTTAGGTGAGCAAGCAAAGCAGGCTCCTTTGTTCACCTGTGTGCACGGGCTGAGACTCAGGCGAGCTGATTGCCTTGCCTTGTGAGCATGTGTTCTGTGCAGAGCCTGGGCTGCATGAGTCGTGTGTGCAGCACCGTGCCGTCCAATCAGAGTGTAGAAATAGTCTGCTATAGCAGCGCGCGCTTGCCTTCTCGATCTCAGCTCGCTCCAGAGGACTGCTTGTGCACATGGCTGGCCCGCAATCCAACTTGCGCAAGATGGCCGCATTTATGGTCTGATGGAGATTTTTGGGTTCGACGAAGATGCTGTCCGGGGCTGCATTTGGAGAATGCGGTGATGTTCATAGCATGTCATAGCTATAGTGGGTACATGCGCAATTGGCTGCATCACTGGTTCTTCTGGCCTGTACGGCACCCCGTCGCGGCAGCGCCAGCCGTCAGGTCTTATGCAAGAAAGACATGCGACTCGCTGTGGCTAAGCATGGGTCTCAGAGCCTTCAGCCTGGTAGGCCAAAGCTGGGCTATGGCGGGTTAGAAGCACGTTACGAGCAGCTGTTTCTTGGCCCAATCCAGGCTACGGCGATGGCACAGAACCTCTGGCGAAGACAGTGCTCAGACCTAGCTTGGCACCTCGCCTCAGTCGTGAGGGTCGGCACGCTTGAAGGGGATCCAATACGAAGAAAAGGCTAGTCCACGGACTGAGCATGCCATCATTGGTTGTGCGCTGTTCCAGGAAGCTGAATTGGCTGCTACAACCCATCGACTCCTGATGCCCTGCATACAATGACTGCTATCTCTTCGCAGAAATTCTGTCCAAAGCGCAGAAGCTTGGATGGTTAAATACCGATTTTTTAGAATCGTGATGTGCACAAACATGCAAGTCGGAGTAGCATGCTTAGTAGACTTCAGCCTCATGCATAGGCTTTGGCGACGTGTATTAGGATAGATGTGTGCGGTGCAGAACATTGTCCCAGTTAGTTGTGATCCGAGCTGTGATTTCGCCGGGAACCTGTGCAGATTCTATTAAGTCACGACGTTTCTCCGGCTGACCTTGCTCGGCGGATTCAGATTTCAATGCACAGCTGGATGCGTGTGGCCGACTGGTCCGAAGCACAACGTCTCACTCATAAGTTGGTGTCCGTTTGAGGGGCACCTTCCCGACAGCACTTGCAGCATCTCTCCACATCCCAGGATAAGCTGAAGGCGCTGCTTGTGGCATTGTGAGGCCACTCTAACAGCAGGCCTTGTGGACCAGGAGTGAAACTCCATGTCAAAACTTTGCAGTGCACGGCAATGCCTCCGTGAAGTCCGGTTGCCGGGACGTCTGCCTATCTGAGAGTACTGAAGGTGAGCTTCAGTTTCAAAACTCTTCCAAGCCTCACTGATGCGTTCTGCGGGGTGCGGCCAGACTGTGCCAGTGCTTCTGTTCATCCACCCTATCCCTCTGCCCCGGAATGTGAGGAGTTCGCGGCCGCGGAGTGCCACGAGGAGCAGCTCAGGCTTGTCGGTTGCAAGAGCTCGGTGTCCTCCAAAGCGAATACTGTCAATGGGGTCTGCCTGGGCCTATTCTGCTTGTCACGGTCACACGCATTTATTCGCCGGAGTGTCGCGGCGAATGGTAGAGGCAAACACTTGCACGCGCACGTGCGAATCGTGAACACTGGAGCTGATGACCCTTCTGAAACGGCCAGTCTATAACGCGAACACGAGTGCCCGCATCCCGTGCATCCAGCACGTCAATATGCCGTGACCACTAATCATCCCATATCGTTCTCCGTGTTTCGGGGTCACACGACCCATGTATCAGCATCAGCGTCAACGACGCCCTGCTTCATGTCGACTTCAATTGTAAACGTCATCGGAGGAGACTGAAGGCCCAAAGTCGGAGGAACGAGACGAATATGTAACAGTTACTAGTAGTAGTTGTTTGCATACATGCTGCGGTTTGTTGCAGGCCCTGCATAACAGACCTTTGCCCTTCGTAACGGGCGTTTGCCCGAAGCAAAGTCGGCTGAATCTGCCGAAAGCAGGCAGATGGTCCGTGATCTTCGGCAAGAGCTCCGTTTTAGCAGCAAGGCCGGAGAAGGAATCCCACTCTCAGATTATTCATAACTTCACAACATTCCCTATGCTTTCTTGTGCTCCCGAAGATGATTTTGTGCAGCTGTGACTTTGGTCATGCCGAAGTTGGCCATGGTACAGTGCAGATCAGAGCAATGCCTGGAAGGTCTCCTCGGAGCACTCCCAGGCAGAGCGCAGCACGTTTCTGTTTTGCATGGTGCAATTTGCTTGCTTTTGTTTGGGGAGTCTGTCCTTGCAGAGGTGGCTTTGAGCCGTGAGATGTTGCTTGGATCGCCCTCTCCCTTGCGGCGAGCTGGGGAGAGACGACGCGTCTTTTAAGGCGCACCGCTCCCTTCAGATTCAGGAAGAACTTTGAGGCCCTTTCACTCATGGGATCCTCTGCTCTTGTACATCGCCAATTCAATGGGCTGCTCCTGTGGATGCAAACAAGCAGCGTTGCGACTGAAGTGCGCCTGCTTGCCACGACGGGGCTCCAATCTAAATCCAGAGGCAGCAGCTGCTGAAGGAGTTAGAGTGGCTGGCTGCTTTGCACAGTGCGGGCAGCACCAGTAGGTGCGCTGCAAATGCTGCAAATGCACCATCAGCCCCTGCAATCAGAAATTCGCTCCCCACTCAAGGGGCAAATTCAGCGGATATTGCACGAGTCTTAACTGAGAGCAGGATGCGCATGTATGGAGAATCCGGAGATTAGGTTCTGTTGAAGTCTACCTGACCAGAGGTTCCTGCCTTCGTGTTGGACAAGCCGCATGACCACTCGATTACTCGATTGCATGCCCGCCCGGTGAGAGGACTCATGTAGCTTCAGCAAAAGAATTCTGGTTGGGCCACTCACCCTGGGCGAGATGTCAGCCTAATAGTGTGCCTTCTGGTGAAATGTATAGATGAGTGGCGGGTGCACTGAGGAAACAACGACATCCACTGCAGGAACATGGATTCAGCTTGAGGTTTTGTTGGTGTTTGGGTGCAGGCTCTTGTTCAGGACTGGTGTTCACAGCCGGTTGAATTGTCGAACCAGGTTAGCCCACGTGCAGGATTGGTGAAGCAAAGCGGCACATACATCATACCTTGTTCTGGCTTCAGAAGACATTGGCAAGTACAGTACGAAGGGCTGCATCAAGACGCTGCATGGTTTATGTGCGTACAAACATGAGCAGGATAGGTGGGAAGACTGGAGGGAGGCTGGATACATGGCTACATGTGTGCGTATATGTCCATACATTATAAATAAATAGATAAATAAATGAATAAATAAATAGAATAAATAAATAAACACATAAATAAATAAACATAAATAAATATATATAAATAAATATATATAAATATATAAATATAAACATAAATATAAATAAATAAATAAATATATATATATATATGCTACCCCCCCCTCCGGTACCTAGGTTTTCGTCTCTATGTGGGC